GCCTATTCTCCAAGACGGAGATGTCAGAGGTGCTCACGGAGATCCTGCGAGTTGACCCCGCCTTTGACAAGGAGCGGTTCCTGCAGCAGTGTGAGAACGACATCATCCCCAACGTCCTGGAGGTGGGTTGCCCCCTCAGCGGGCCCTCCCCATCCTGGCCAGTCTCTTATCGCCCTGGGCTGCGCACGACAAACCGGCTGTGGCCTGATGGAGCGCTCCGCCAGGGCAGACACCTGTCCCGCCTTCAGAGGCCTGAGCACCCCATGCCTGGCCCTTGTTAGTCATGCACCTCTGAGAAGGCACCTGGGGTCGCCCGTGGGCCCTGCTGGTCCCCACAACGGCAGCTGCTTTCTTGCCTTGGCTGTTGGGTGTGTCTGCTCCCGGGACTGAGTTCCCTGTCACAATGTCCGGCAGCAACTCCTGCCTCCCTTGAAAGCTGGCCTGGAGCCTCCTGTCTGGTTCCCTCGTGCTCTGTGCTTGAGGTGGTTCCTTGGAGGCTGCAGTGAGCGGCTGCCCGGGGCCTTTCAGGAGTGGGTGAAGCTGTAGCCCGTGGGGCAAGCCATGAGGGGGACCCTAAGGGGGCTCTCCTCCGAGGTGTCCTCTCTATGGGAATCCTGAATCCCATCTTCTATCCCCTTCCTGGCTCAGAAGCGAGGAGGGAGCGGCTTGCCCAAAGTCCCGCTGCAACCAGCCCTCCACAAGGCCCCTGCCTGAGTCGGCTGCCTTTTCCTCCGCCACGTCTGCTCCTTTAGCCCCCAAGACGTGGCCGGAGCCCAGGAAAAGTCCTAATGAGACCACAGAAAGGCCTTGCAAGCCCCAGTGGGTTCCTGTCCCCTCCTCCTGCCTCCTCCATCCCAGTGACCTTCATGGGTCCCCCTCCCTTTCCGATTTCCCAGGTCCCTCACGCCACTTTGGGCAGGGAGGGAGGAGGTAGACATGGAGCGATCCCCAAAAGCAGCAATCCGAGCACAGGCAGTTTCTTCTGGGGTGAGGCTGTCTCAGCCCCCAGCCTGCTTGTGCTTTCCCTCGGGCCCTCAGCTCCTCCGTCACCTTGAGCAGGTTCAGCCCTGCCTCCAAGTTCCTGTGGAGGTCTCCCCCATGGCACCTGGGGAGGCCACCCCTGGGACCCCTCCTCTGTGCTTTTGTGGACCCAGCTGTGCAAAGCTCCATCCCCAGTGGAGGGAGAATGCAGCTCTTGGCCTCCCTGGCTCAGTTTCCTGGCCAGGGTGAGCCCACCAGGCTGCCACCTTCCTCTGCCTCCTCCCACGAGGCCCTTGGGACCACCCTGGGCTGCCGGGGGTCACACACACAGGCCCTTGGTCCCCAGGGCCTGAGGAGGGGCGCCCATTGCTGCAGCCCAATTCAAGGCCCCCTGCTCCCCAGGTACAGCCTGTGGGGGAGGGCCTCCTGCCTAGATCGTCCCCTCTTAGTCTCGAGCTAATTTTTTTTGTTTTCCCCTTTTTAGGCCATGATTTCTGGAGAGCTCGACATTCTCAAAGATTGGTGCTATGAAGCTGTGAGTACTTCTTTCTTTTTATTTTTTTCTAGTTAGGCCTAAAAAGAATCATAGCTTGGAGATCTGCTTGGGCAGCATGGTCTGAGAAGGGCATGATGGGGTCTGGTGTCCTGATTGTGGGGGGACCCCGGGGGCCGGGGCTGGGCGGAGAGGGGTGTGTGTGACCTTCCCATCCCCGGGCCAGCGTCCATCATCACGCCCATGTCACAGGCATCATTAGGGTACAGCACGAACACAGGCAGCATTTGCAGGACACAAAGCGCTGGCTGGACTCATTAGCTGTCCTCACTTTGAGTTCCCGAAACAGATCAAAACAGACGGTGATAGATTTCCCGCATGGGGAGGAGCCGTGTCCTGACGAGGCCTGACTGCTCCCCGGAGTCGGGGCTCAGGGTCCCCGGGCTGCACGGTGCCGGGCCATGGGTGACAGGGTCAGCCCCCCTCAGGAGCACACCCTGTCTTCCCTGGAGCCTGGCAGCCTCCCCGTGCCTGCAGGGCTCTGGCTGGCCACCTCGCCTCCCCCTGCTCACGCCCTGACCTGTGTCTTTGTGGGTTGTTTTTTTTTTTTGTCTTTTTCTGAGCTTATTTGTATTAAGCAATCCAGAGCCTTTTTTGGCTGACTCTGTTCTGCTTCCAGCTCACAAACAACTTGGGAGAAAGCAGGAGAAGATGTCAGATTTTTTTTTAAAATACTCCTCTGCATGGTGACTAATCCAACAGGCATTTGTGAGTGGTGGTGGTGTTTCTTTTCTTTTTTTTTTTAATACTTTGGCACCATTAGGATGTGGTTGGTTATCTTTGCCAGAGAGCTGCTGGTGCCCCTGGAAATGCACTTGAAATTGCAGGTGCTCACACAGAGGTGTTTTTTAAATGTCATTTTTTAAGAATCACACCAGAAATGGGAGCGGCAGCATTTGTTTTCTTGGTAGCGGTTATTTCCATAAAAAGTAGTTGTGATTGGAATGTCTTCCATCATAGTTGCTGAGTCCAGAGAAGCTTCTGGAGGAAAGCTACAAGGCTGCACATGTCCTGGGCCTGGGAGCAGGCTGGGGCGGGGCCAGGGGTGTTATGCGGGCTGCCTGCGGGCAGCGGCTTCCCGGAGCAGCTGGTCAGCGAGGAGGAGGCACCCCGTGCAGCTCATTTCAGAGCAGCCGCGGATTAGGGCAAATCCTAGAAAACGCGTTGGATTCCAGGCCAGGATTCAGAGTGCGGTGAATAGGGGCAAGTCCACGATCAGCCAGAGAGGCCTCAACTTACCCCTGGGGCTGTGTTTCAGATTCTGCGGCAGGAAAATTACCAACTCCCCCGGTGATGGCACTTTCAGTCGGTAGTCTTGATGCAGTGCTGCCTTTATAACGAGGGAGGGGTGTGCGCTGCGGGCCAGCAAACGGGGGGCACCAGCCCGCCTGCTTGGACCCGTGCTCCTGGCGTCCGCCACGCCCGGCGTAGCACAGCCCCGCGCCAGGAGCCGTTTCTGGACGGTTCGAGGGCTGAAAGCGCGGGGCTCGGCTGGCGCGCCGCGGGGAGAGCCGCCCAGGACCGCGTGTCGGGCCCCGCGGCGCGCCAGCCTCGGTGCTGCGGCGCTCGGGCGGGGCTTGCGTTCGGGCGGGGCTTGCGTTCCGTGCGTGCGGCCCCAGGCGTGCGTGCGTGCGTGCGTGCGTGCGGCCCCAGGCGTGCGGCTTCTCGTTGCAGACCTACAGCCAGCTGGCTCACCCGATCCAGCAGGCCAGGGCGCTGGGCCTGCAGTTCCACTCCCGCATCCTGGATATCGACAGCGTTGACGTGAGTGTCTCTCCCGGGGGGTGTGCTCGTCACAGGGGCGCCCCGTCCCTGCAGGAGTCCTGACATGGGCAGGTGCTTGGGTTAAGGGGCCTCCGGGGCCCCTTCAGCGGAAGCCCGTGGTGGGAGAATTCTTAGGCAGGTGGCAGACGCGGGGGGTGCTGCTGCCCAGACCTCGGGGCCCCCAAAGGCAGTATTGCCCCTGCGCCTTTACTGGGAAGGGGGGCGCTCTGTCAGGACCACTTAGGCCCCGACGGTCCCTATGGGGAGCTGGAGACACGCCAGCGCACGCTTCCCTCTACCCCTGCCTGTGTGCACGACTGGGCCCTTTGCGGGGGGCCTTGATGTGGCCGCCCAGCCCAGGTCTTAGCAGTTCAGACAATGGGTCACATTGGGAAGGGTCTTGTGGGAATCTCCCACCTGGAAACGGACGACTGGACTCCTCAGCCTCCTTCCGGGGCCTGGCCCAGCGAGGGGCACGAGGGGGTGCTGGGGCCGCTCTCTGGGAAGCGGGGATCTGCACCACAAGGGGAGCAGCAGGGAAGGGGTGTGGCCACTCTAAGCCCCCCCCCCCCCCCCCCGCAGCTGGCCATGGGCAAGATGATGGAGCAGGGGCCTGTGCTGATCATCACTTTCCAGGCCCAGCTGGTGATGGTGATCAAGAACCCCAAAGGCGAGGTGGTCGAAGGTGACCCGGTGAGTGTGAGAGGAAATGGAGCAGCACGGGCAGGTGGCCATCTTCAGCTGCCTTGCACTTTGGAGCCAGGAGGTTTTGTGACTGTGCAGAAACAGCAGGGCCGGGCTTCCAGAAGTCTAGGGTCCCAGTCAGGCCTGGTGGAGGTCAGAGGGTGACTGACCTGTCTGGTTGGGCCAAGAGTTGCAGCCTCTGGAGCCCAGAGCCAGGCTGACACCCCCAGCCCCACTCCCTGGTCCCTCCTGGTGTCCCCTCTGTGTTCTGCCCTGCTCCTCTCGACAGCCCCTTGTCCCCAGCCCTCACCTTCCCCGCCCCGGCAGGAGAAGGTGCTGCGCATGCTGTACGTGTGGGCGCTCTGCCGAGACCAGGACGAGCTCAACCCCTATGCAGCCTGGCGGCTTCTGGACATCTCCGCTTCCAGCACAGAGCAGGTCCTCTGAGCACGGTGGCCGCGGCCGGGGGCTCCTGGGCTGGATCAGCACGTGATGGACACCCAGAGGACTGCTGTCTGCCCGCAGCAGCTAGACCTCTGAGGACAGGACTGTCGGTTCTCTACCAGGGCGGCACGGGGAAGGGCGGGCAGTTGCCGGGGCTCCTCCCCACAGTGCCAGCCCCCGCGCTGCCCCTCGGCCCCGCGGGGCTGCTGAGCGAGGTCACTGCAGTGCACAGGCCCGATGGTGCCAACGGGCCCCTACCCAGGGGCTCTCTGGAGGCAGGAGGACAGGGCCCAGGCCCCCGCCACTCAGAGTGGCCCACTGGCCACTTCAGCCAGGGCATTTTGGCTCCGTTTTTTATTTTAACAGTGCCCTTATTACCCGTGTGTATATGCCTGCGATTTGGAAATAATAAAACACCAAAGTGCAGGAGAGCAACTTGGGTGGTCCGAGGTGTCTGTCACTGGGGTGGGGCGGGAGCTGACCAGGAGGTCACAGGGAGGTGGTCAAGGTCACTGAAGGAACTGAAGCTCTGGAGGGGGCAGCCTTGCCTGGTCAGGACCCTGCCCGCCCTTGGGTGACCGAGACAAGAGCTAGGGAGTTTTCAGTAGTCTGGCTGGGGTCTCGGAGGGTTGGGGTTCCTAGAGCTGGAGGAGCTTGAGTGCCAATAGGAGTGATTTTTGGAGGCATTGGGATCCGTCCGCGCAGGACATCTGGTCGAGGGGTCTATCGCAGAGAATGGGGGGAAGGTGCGGAAGTCGGGCTGGGGTGCTTCTGGGGTGGGGTGGGCGAGGTCCTCGGTGCTGAGGCTCCCCGCGGCCGGGGTCTCCCAGGCGCCTCCGGGGGGGAGCGCCGTCCTCCCGGAGGCCGGGGCGGGGTCGCGAGCCCGCGCACCGCTCCCTGCGCAGCCTCCGCCCCCCGCGGCGGCCCCGCCCCCGTCGCCATGGGAACAGCCGCGGCGGCCCGGCTAGCGTGCGGCTCGCCTGCCTCGGTCTCCAGCGCTCCAGGGGCGGGTGGGGTGGGCTGAGCCCGGGCCGCCGCCGCCACCAACCGCCGCCGCTACCACCGGGGAGAGGCCGAGAGCGGAGCCGGCGCGGGTCCCGGAAGAGAGCGCAGCCACCGGGCGCTCGGTCCCCGTCCCGGTCGAGGCCAGGGTGAGGGGCGCGGCAGGGGGGTGGGGTGGGGGAAGGGTCCCCGGGACGCCGAGAACAAAGGGAGCGGGGCGGGGGACAGGGTTTCGCCCCGCTGCGCCGCCGGGGCTGCGCGTTCGCACCTGTTGTGCGCGGGCCGGCCGGGTCCGGGCTCCCTCTCCCCAGTCTCAGCGCCCCCACCTGCACGCACGGCCGGAGTTGGGTCCCCGCGTGCCTGTGGCGGCTTGCCCGCGAGCCCGGCTTGGGCGTAGCCGGGGGACAGAGGCGCGGGCGGGGGCTGTATCCGGGCAAGGTCAGGGGGCGGTGGCGGGAGGGGACGGCGCAGGGGCGGGAAGGCGCAGGCTCATCCTGGCGCCCCCGGCAGGCCCTTCCTCCGCAGGGCGCGCGGCGATGTGAGCCATGAGCGCGACGTGGACGCTATCCCCCGAGCCGCTGCCGCCGTCGACGGGGCCCCCGGTGGGCGCGGGCCTGGACGCGGAGCAGCGCACGGTGTTCGCCTTCGTGCTCTGCCTGCTCGTGGTGCTGGTGCTGCTGATGGTGCGCTGCGTGCGCATCCTGCTCGACCCCTACAGCCGCATGCCCGCCTCGTCCTGGACCGACCACAAGGAGGCGCTCGAGCGCGGGCAGTTCGACTACGCGCTGGTCTGAGCCGTGCCCTGCCGCTCTCCGAGGGGCCGACTCGACGGGGGCGCCGCCTGGCAGGGAGCGCTCAGGACCTCCGCCCCAGCGCCTAGCCCGAGGGAGGAGGCCGTTAGAGGTCCGGCTCCTCCCCCTCAGACCCCTCCCATCTTTCCTCCCGGCCTGGCCGGAGCCCCACTTCGTGCCTTTATCCCGCCCCGTCCTCGCTCCGTAACTCGCAGGCTCTGCTGGCCCCCGACTGGGAAGAGGACCCCCACCCCCACCCCAAGGCGTATAGGTGGCTCTGCTAGTGCCCTGCCGCCGAGCATGAGTGTCCTGTCCATTCCTGGATGCGGGGGACCCCCGTGTCCCCACTCCCTCCCCTGTGGTCTGGCCATCCTCACTCCGCCCGCGATCCCCCCTTAATGTTGAGCTGCTCCTGCGGGGCAGGCTCTCCTGCGCCCATGGGGTGGACGCTGCACACCCATATGCCCTGCGCGGCCTGCCCCGGAGACCGAGCCTGGAGAGCACCAATGGCTGTTGTGTCCAGGACGCGCGGCACCTTCGGTGGGAGGAAGAGTGCAGGCAGGTTCTCCCCAGTACAGGTCAGCGCCCCTCCCTGGCCCTCCTGCCGCTTCCCCCTGCCCCCTTCCCGCATCCCCCCCCCCGCGGCCTTCCCCATGCCTTCCCCCTCCTCCCTGCCTCTGAGCCGATGGTGTCAATAAAAGCTATTACTGAACGCTTACTACATGCCAGGCGGTGCGTGAGTTAGCGCGTGCTGCGCGTGACCTGTCCCCTCTGCAGGACCCAGAGCGAGCCCTCTTAGCATCGCTGTTCGACAGCCCGGGGGATGGAGGCCCAGGCGGCCTGAGGGACTAGCCTGTACTATACTGAGTGGCGGGATTCCAGCCTGGCTGGGATTTAAACCCAGGTCTGACTTCCACATGCTCTTAATGGCTGCCCCATGCTGCCAAAACACGCAGGCCGCATTCTGGGGGGACTGACGGGTGAACTAGCTCCCTTCCGCAACGCGCATCGCCAAGGTCCACCCCCCCTTCTTTCCCTTAACTTGGGGAGACTGGAGGCTGTGGAATAACGGGACTAAGCGGGGCTGGGAGGGGTGGGGGGCCCCGCTCAGCCGGCCCTGGAGGGTGCCACCAAGACGTGGCATGATCTCCTGGCACTGACCACATCTGCTCCCCCAAACCTCTCTCAGCCTGGTTCCTCCTGCCCACCATTCACACGCGCACTTTGGAAGCTGGGAGATGGGCAGCACAGAGTGGGCTGGCTCTGCTCCACACCCCCCGCCCGGGAGCCTGTTTGTGCCCCGGGGAGCCGTGTGCAGTGTGTGGGGAAGAGCAGGCGCTTCTATAAAAGGAAGGCTGTGTGAATGCACGGGCTCTGCGAACACATCTACCAGCTCCCAGAGGACTAGTCAGGCTGGGGGGGGAGCTGTGGGAGGACACCTGGCTCCCCTGCCGTGCCCTCCCCAGCCTCTCCCTGAATCTACACCCTCAGGCAGGCTGATGAAGGGGGGACCCCTTGCAGGGAGACCCCGCCACACTCCTGGGAATTCGGGGCCTTTGGCAGCAGCCAGGACCCTTCCTCTACCCAGCTCAGCTCCTCCCTCCCTGCCCCTCTTTGCTTTGCTGGGGGGTGGGGGGAGATGACTTACTCCCCTCCCTCCGACCTCCTGCCACCTGAGGCAGCCCACCCCTTACCCTTGACCTGTACCTGGGGCCTGGCTCCTCCCACCTGGCTACCCTCTGCTGGCTTCTCTTCATCTGTGTGAGGGGAGGTCACCTGCGCTGAAAACCCTGCACTCAACACCTGTCAGGCTCAGGCTTCATCCTCCATGCAGTCACCGAGGGTCCCCTTCACGGCCAGACCAAGGTCACTCCAGGTGGCACTGAACCAGACCTGGCGGCGGCGGCAGCCTTTACTGATGACGGTGCCTTCCCCCCTCACATGCCCCCCATTCAGCCCTGGGACCCCGAGCTCCTGCACTCCTACCTATGACTTCTTCTGGCACTTTGGGCCTCCACTCCCATCTTTAACTCCCAGGAAAAAGGGAACAAGACATAATGGCAAGAACTTTACTCACAGGACATAGGATACAGGATGTTGGGACAGGCTTTGTGGGGGGAGGAGCTGGCTGCCCCCACCTCAGTTCTGTGGCCAAACCCCTGTACAACTGTGCTTCTGTTTCGGAGACCCCTACCGTGTCGATCATCTTCAAGGCCACCCCCTGCTGCCCACCATGTCAGGGACCTTCCACCGTGGCTGGGTCCTCCTGACAACCCAGGACCAGCCCAGGCAGGACTGAGGGCCAGGGGGCTCACAGATGTCTGGTGTATTTTCCCCCTACCGGGCCTTCACCTCGCAGGGCTGGCTGCCTGGCCCAGCAATTCCAGGGGCACCAGGAACGGGTTCAGGGGGCAGACCCCAGCTGCTTGCCAAGCAGACCTTGGCTCACTGGGCGGGGCATTCTCTGGAGCCAGGGGCACGGCCTGGCTGGCCTCCTCTTGCCCCGGGGAGCTTGTCCCGGCATCCTCAGCTCCAGGCACCAGGCCCTCTGTGGCTGGGTCCGGCTGAGGGGCTGTCAGGTGCACGTACATATCCGACATGTGTTTAACCAGGGCATCGCAGGGCAGGCGGAGCAGCTCCTCGGGAAGTGCCAAGAGCAGGTCGAGGACCACCGCTGCCTCTGGTGATGGACACAGAGGGGTGGGGTGAGGGCAGGGGGGGCCTTGCTGCCCGGGGCTCGTTCCCTCCCAGCCCCTGCCCGTTACTCTCACCAGCTGCAGAAAGCTCAGGGCCATGACACCTGCGGGAGACGGACGACAGATACTTGTAGATCTTCTCAAAGTCCACGGAGAAGTCGCCTTCCGACGACGGGTCAGCCAGGGATGCAGAAGGTGCCTCGGGGGCGGGGCCATTCGCCTTAGGGGCGGGGCCCGGGGTGTCAGGGCTCGAGTCCTCCCGCCCTCCAGGGGCGCTGAGCAGCAGTAGCTTCCCACGCGCCTGTGTGGGCTTGGGGGGCTTGGAGTGCAGGAGGCTGACGGGCTCCGTGGCCGCGATGGTGAGTACCTGGCAGGAAGAGAGATCAGGGAAGGAAAGGGGGAAGTCCTCCCATCCGCCTCTCCGCTGCCCTGCACCCAGCTGAGCCCTCCACCTCCACCTGCTCACCAAATCCTCCCTGTTAGACGTAACATAGGGGAGCTGTCGGAAGCGGGGTCACTGAGGCTCAGGGTGTTCAGTGACTGGCCAGCGTCACAGAGCTGGCAAGAGGAAGGGCCCCGGAGCCAAGTCCCCCTAATTTAGACTTATACATAACACCCCCATCCTGCCTGTGGGATGGCTGTACCTGTGAGAAAGCCACAGTCAGGGCCTCCTCCAGCGGGCCCGTTATCTTCTCAGCCAGATCCATCCATACCTGGATGGGGCGACCAGAGGGCACACAGTCGGCCTAGGGACCAACCCTCGGGGGTCTCCAAGCCCTGCCCCTCCTGGGGATCCCCCTGATCAGGTTATCCCCCCCAACACCCACACCATGCCCCAGGGCCCGGCCTTGGCGGGCCTTGTCCTGCCTCACCTCGATGGGGGCCGGGGTCTGTGTTTCCCGGCGCCTCGGACCCTGCGGGCCACCGGGATGCACCCTCTGAATGGCCTCCCGGACCACGCGGCCCTTGAGCTGCCGTAGGAAGTCCCGGATCTGGATAAGAGAGGAGGAGGCCGAATGGGCCTTCTACACGCCCAGGGTTGGGGAGAGAGGCCAAAGCCTACTGCCTGCTCCCGGACCGGCACTGCTCCCTAGCCTCCGGCTACCCCGGTGTTACAGGTCTCAGTGACTCTGCCCCGGGGCTCGGGCCCAGGCCCCAGGTGTGACCAGCCACCCCATAAAGGTGTAAGGCCGGTTCTGCTTCCTCCCCGCAGCCAGGGCCCACCCTCTGCGAAGGACTACCCTGTTCATCGCCCCGCTTCACCCACTCGGCCCCGTTTCCTGGCTCTCACTTCAGCCTCACTGCCCTTTCCGCCCTGACCGGGGGGGGGGGGGGGCCTCCACTCCGTCTAATTCGGAGTCCGACCGACCCCTCAGCCTCTCGCACGCGCGGCCTCCACCTCGCCCCGCCCCTCAGTCTCGCATGCCCCGCCTCTCCCCCAAGCTCGCCCCGCCCCTCAGCCTCAGGTATGCCCCGTCCACACTCAGCCTCCCTTCCAAGTCCCCCGCCCCCACCCCGCGCTCGCCCCGCCTCCCCGCCCCGCCCCTCAGCCGCAAAGTATGCCCCGCCCACATCCTAGCCGGGGCTCCAGCCCCCCTCCCTTCCCAGGACCCCCTCACCTCCGCCTCGCTGCGGCCCGGCAGCTCCCGGGCCAGCTCAGCGGCGTCCGGCTCCGGCTGGCCCTGCCGCGCCTGCAGTAGTCGTAGCAGCTGCCGCTTCTCGCGGGCGCTCCAGGCCGCGGGGCCGGTCACCTCACCCAGGTAGCGCGCCGGGGCCGCTCGCCGCCGCTGCGGAGGCTTCATGCCGGCGAGGGCGGTGTCTGCGTCCCGGGCCCGTTTCCCTGGTAGGCGGGGTTACGGAGGCCGCTGGGGCCAGAAAGCACGGCGCGGAGGCGGAACCAGATGGGGGCGTGGCTCCGCCTTTGCGGCCGAAGAGAACAGTTTAGATGGCAGAGGATGGAGAGACTGGCATGCGAACGGAGGTGGGGGCGCATGAGACACCCCACCTGCCTGCATTTTATCTCCTCCGTGAACTGGAGCCGAGACCTTAGATCTCCCGCCCTCCCTCCATTCCGGGACTGAGTCTCGCGAAACTCCTACTGTGTGCTTTGCTTCTCCAAAAGGAGTGGACCCTGGCAGGAAGGCAGCTGTTCAGTGGTAGCCAAGAACCTGGGCTGTGGGGTTGGCTAGCCCTGAGGACCTAGAGCAAGTGATATGGCCGAGCCGAGCCTCAGTTTCCTCATTTGTGAAATGGAGCTAGTAGTCCCGCTCGAGGGAAGGGAGGAAGTCGGACAGGAGACAGTTACGAGCTCTAGACTAGACAGAGGGCGCTGGAGCAGAGACCAGAGGTCAAGGCCTTAGCGAGGGCAGAGTCCAGGGTGGGGGTGGAGAGCGGAGAAAGCCTGGCTTTGGGAAGACCGCCGGAGGCAGGTGGGCAGGTGCAGGGCTTGAGGAAGGAGGCGGAGCTTATTAAAACTTAAGCACGTGGGCTTGGGTGTCCCTTTCTGTTTGGGAAAAACTCCCTTGGATCTCCCCTGGCCTCCATCTGCACACGTATACATGGGCGTGTGAGCCCGGCCCCCAAGGCCTGGTCCAAGGCCTCTGCTTCCTGCCCCCTATACCCGCGCCAAGCTCACACGCAGACTTCAGAACTCAGCAGGTCAGACCAGATGTTTATTTTGAGCCCAGGTGGGAGGGTGCGAGGAGGAGCGCGTCGGGGGCGGGAGGGTTCGGAGCAGAGACAGTGGTCCCGTCGGGTCCGAGGTGGGCCGCGGCCGGTGCAGTCCTGGCGGGCCTGGTTCGAGGCCGTGGCTGGTGTGTCTCGGGACCTTGCTGGGGGTGCGCCATCCCTGGCGAGGGGCTACCCAGGCTGAGCGAAGGAGAGGACACAACGCAGGCCACCCCCTTCCCAGCGGATCACTGGCCTCCTCCGTCAGTCTGTGTGCGGGAGTGAGGGTGGGTGCTAGGTCTGAGTCGCGAATTCTCCTCATCTAGTGTCTGTCCGAGGTTTGAGGACCCCTCTTGTGACACAGAGCCCGAAGTTGGCCACGGGTGACCGACCCAGTGCCCGAGTTTGAATTCCAGCTCCACCAAATTTTGTGACCTTTGACAAGTTACTTCAGAGAGTGCCTCATGGGTCTCATTTCTAATATGGGGATTATAATAATATCTACCTGAACGTTGTTATGAGGATTACATTAATTAATAGGCATGAAACCTTCCGAACACTCCCCGGCACAGGGAACGCCTAAAACGCCATTATCATCACCTCCCTCTTCCAGCTGTCCTACCGGCCCCACGTTACAACCCTTTCCCCCCACCCGTACCCCCGTTTACCTGCCTCACTGGGGCATCCTGGGCTGGGGGCCGCTGGGCGAGTCTCTCGGGGCCGGACCGGGGGTTGGGGGCGCTGGAAAGGAGAGGGAGGCTGCGGAGCACTAGGGGTTCCTGCACACTGGGCCGGGGCAAGGGCGCCCCCTGGGGGCTGCCGCGGGCGTATCGCAGGCAGGTCTGGGGATGGTCGGGGCTCCACCGGCTGGGTCGCGGCGACCCGGGGTCCCGACCCGCGGGGATAGGCTGGGGGCCGGGCGGAAGTCCCGGCGGGCAGAGCGTGGTACCTGAGTGCGCACAGACGAGGCCGAGCCCGGCGGCCAGCGCGGCGCCCAGCACGAAGGCAGCCAACACCAGCGCCACCACGGGCGCGGGCTCCAGGGCCGCGGGGGCCGCGGCCGGAGGCTCGGGGCGCACGGCTCTGCCGGGGACGCCCTTGGATGGCCCTGTGGGAAGTACGACACAGGGACTGGGCCCGGGCCACAGATGTCCTCCCCACCCCCCGTTCTCCGACCCCTGCGGAGAACTGCGCGCTCACTGGGGGGTGGCCGCGGCACTGTGACCACGATGGGCTGCGTCAGCGTGTGCAGGTGGGGACTGTCGGCACCCAGGCTCTCGCCGCTGCCGGCGCCCGTGCACGCCTCATCCTGAGGCAGACACTGGGGGGAGGAGGAGGCAAGAGATGGGCAGTCAGGCCCCAGGATTCAGGGACCTGTCTGTCCCCGGGTTTCCCGAGAGGTCTACGTGTCCAGCTCTCTATTGCGACCAGGAGTCGCACCAGTGAACTCCTGGAAATCCGACCCCCGAGAGGCCCGTGAGCCCAGCCCCTGAGATGTACAAGCAGCCAGCCACCCAGCCTGTGAGGACTGCAAATTGCAGCCCCTCAAGGTCACACGACCCAGTTCTCCGAGAACCTTAGATACCAGACCTTTGGCCCCTTGGCCGCCTCTGCATCCAGCCACCCAGCCCTGGAGGGACCTCCGAGTTCCGCCCCAGGCATCCCAGAGCAAGCCCAGCGGCCATTCCCTGTCCCCTGGGGAACCCCTAGGCAGAGCCCCGCAGGCCCCCCTCTCCGTCCCTGAGCCCAGCCACCAGCCCGAGAGAGACCCAGCGACTCTCCCCAGCTCCGAGGGACCCCCGTCTCCAGCCTCCAAAGCGTCGGACCCCTAGATTCCCAAGCTCCAAGGAGCTCTTCCTTCAGAGGCCGGACGGCCTGTGCCCAGCCCCCCCCCCCCCCCCCCCGGCCCCGGGACTGGCCCAGGCGCCCAGATTCCCGGCGGTGCGCCCGCGCACCAGCGATGGCGGCGGCAGCGTCAGAGGCGCAGGTGTCCGGCGGGCTCCCCGGAGGCGGCGGCAGCGGCTCAGCTGGCAGTGCAGGAACTGCACGGAGGCGTTGAAGACCGGGCGCAGGCGGAAGCTGAAGCGCGCGGAGCCGGCAGCACCTGGGCGCGGCGGCGGCGGCGGGAGGACGACCGAGGAGTCGGCGGGGCAGCCCCCGCGCAGCAGCGCCAGGGCGGGCCCCGGGGCCGGGCGCGAGGACGGCGTCACGGAGCAGCGGTGCAGGACCAGGCCCCAGCGCGGAGAGGGTCGGGCCAGGGCCGCCTAGGGGGCGGGGGCGGGGGCGGGGGCGCGATCAGCAACGGCCGCCCGCCACCCGGCCCGCCGCGCCCCGGCGCGCCCCGGCGCGCCCCGCGTCCACACCTGCACGAACACGCGGCTGTCGGCCGGGACCTCGAGCGGCCCCGCGCGGCGCGGGAAGGCCTCCTCCGCGTCCGACAGCTCCAGACGGAAAAGGGGACGGCGCAGCCAGGGCCCGGGCGCCGCGGGGAATGGGGGCGCTGGAGGGGAGAAAGGGTGACACGAAGCAGGTCGCGCTGCCCCTTAGCCCCTCCAGGCCAGCGGAGCAACCTTCCCGCCTCCTTTGGAAAATGGATGCTGTTGCGGTGCGGGATTCCCCGGTGCTCGGTGCTGGCAGAGTAGGCATGGTACGTCCCCTGAAGGTCCGGGGGCCGCCACCGCCCAGCAGCCGAGGCTGGGAGCAAAAATGCGCGCCTCTGGGGAGGAGCCCCCCTTCCCAGACCTGGATCTCTACCCCCACAGCGGACCTGGGACTCCCTGGCGGGGCAGGGTTGAAGGGTGCCTGACGGGGGGCGGGGAAGGCGGCCAGGCTGGGTGAGGTCAGCTACCCAAGGGGCCCAGCGCCCGCTTGGGGAGGGTGCTGCCCCCCCCTTCCTTTCCAAGGTTACCGTGAGCAATGGGGAAGGGAAGAAGGAAGGTGCTGTCTCTCTGCCCCTCTGGCACAGCTGGAGCCCAGCCGGGCCACCAGGGTCTCCGGCCTCTCCATTTGTCCAGATTCCTTACTCCCAGACCGAGCGCAGCAGCAACACGGGGTGGGGACCCACATGCACCCACACCCCCTCTGCCCGAGGGAGGCACTCCGCTGGGATCCTTGTCAAATAATGTTCTCAGGACAGTCCCCACACGTTTCCTAAAAGCATTGGTACACCGCTCTCCCACGGTCACTGGCATCAGTGTACCTGCTGGGGCCTCTGAAGAAGTTGGGGGTCCAGGAGAAGGATCTGGAGACGGGAGACAGAGGCAGAGCCCACCTGCCCTCCCCCCCCGCTCCCCCAGGCAAGGCAGAGGGGCGGTGGAGCCGAGAAAGGGCAACACAGGGATGGAAGCCTGATGAGCCGTGTCCCCAGCCTCTACGTACCAGGTGGTCCGCTGGGCAAGGTGGCAACCCCGGGGAGCAGGGCCAGCAGCAGGAGCGTGGCACCCAGCATGCTGGACCGGCGCCCCCGAAGTGTGCCCCAGGAGTGCAGCTGCCCGCCAGACGGCACCCAGGCCCGACAGGTGGGCAGGCGGCCCTGTCCTTGGCTGAGCAGCCACCCCAGGAGGCGGGGGCGGTGGACTGAGGGGTGTGCATCAGAGCCGGCGCCCAAGGTCTGCCAGGGATTAAGGGCTCCTCTCTGGCCAACCTGTGGCTGGCGGGGTGGTGGGGAGGGAGGTCCGGCACACTGGTCACTTGATATGCGGCAACTCACTACAAATACGACCCTTCCGGGCCCGGCTGGGCTTCAGTCCCCCGCCCGGGTGCAGAGGCCCCAACCCCTGGAAAGGCATGGCTCCCCCCGCCCCCACCCCCGCCAAAGTTCAGGCCTCACAGCCCCCTCCCACCTCTTGCTGCCCCGGCCTGCCAAGCTCAAGACACACCACAGACTCCGTGGAAGAAAAGGGAGGGGTTTTATTCTCAAGCGTCTAAGGATTTACAAACGGGGGCATTTCGTTTTTAAAAAGGGCTGGGGGAATACTGGCGACCGGGGAAGGGGTCGTGGGCCGGCGGCCTCAGCCAAGCCGCCCCAGGCCCCTGCCCGCCCGCCCACCCGCTCCCCCCTCTGCCTGGTCAAGAAGGATGGCTGGTGACTGGCGACGGAGGGAGAGGACAGGAAAGAGGCAGAGGGGAAGAAGAGGTTCCCCCAGAACCCACTTCACGCAGAAGGGGGGCAGGGGCGGGCAGACGCACTCACAAAACAGAAAATAGTTAAATAAAAATAAATCCAGGTGGCTGGCCCCAGGGCCTTCACTGGCCCTGGGCCCAGCCACGGAACCTTCCAGCTACCCACAAAGGCCACGCCTCCCCTCCCCTCCTTGGCTGGGCCAGGTGAGGGAGGTGGGGGACCAGGCCTGTGGGCCCCCCACCCTGCCCCCATCCCCTCACAAAGGGGACCGGGGCAAGAGAAGGTGGCCGTTTCCCTCCCGGGTGGGGGGCAGAGAGCAGAGAACTCCAGGACTTTTGAACATGCGGCGTTTTGTGAGTTTGGAGCAGAACGAGAGTCCGCAGGACAGACCGGATACAGCGATGCCTAGGCCTAGACTGCGTCCGCTCCGTCCGGCCAAGTTCCTCACCTTTGGTGTTGGTTGGTTTTGTGGTTCTGTGGGTTTCTGTTTTTGTTTTTTTGTTTTGTTTTGTTGTCCACTTAATTTGCATGCATCACCAACAAAAAGGAAACACACCCCCTCCCATTCCAGCTGCTGCAGAGGGCGCGGGGCGGACTGGCCAGCTCTGGGGGAGTCGAGGGGCGCTCAGGGGCACTCCAAGGGCGTGACTGCCTGCACATGCCCAGCCCTCAGCCAGCCCCACCTCTGTCCTGTCACACGTCCTCGAACCCCCACACCCGCCCCTTGCACCCTCGATCCCTGCCTCCCCGGGGCCCCGGGGCCCCGCTCCTGCCACTGACCCCCTCCACCACCTCCCTGCCGCCGCAGCGTCCGCTGCCCTCACCGTGCCCTGCACCCGCCTTCCCTGAAGGCCACCCCGTGTGGCCACGGCCCCTCGGGCTCCCTCCACGCCCCCTGAGGTCCTCAACTCACCCCCCCGAGCTGTGGCCAGTCTCCAGCCCCGAGGGCTGGCCCCGAGGGAGGAGGAGCCCCCCAGAGCCCACCTTTGGGGCTCGGCCCCGCACCCCGGCCCCAGACGCCTGTGCCCACAGGCGGTCAGGGGACTCCACCACAAGCAGCTAAACATGACTTTGGTAAAAGTTTCTGAAGGTACCGACAAACCCCGTGAGAACAAGCTCTTTGCCCCCCCACCCCAAACACCCCACCAAGTACAATAAAATACAATAAACTCCAAAAAGGACCCCCTGAGATCAAAGAGAGAGAAAGAGAAAGAGAGAGAGAGAGAGAGACCAGCCCAGGCCCAGCTGCAGTCGTAACGCCCAGCCTGCCTTCCTGGGGCGAGGACACCAGCTGACGGACTCGCCACTGCCGGAGACCCAAATGGACCCAGGAGTCCCCCAGGGGGGGCTGGCAGGGGGAGCCCAGGTACCGGCCAGGAGAGAGGCAGACGCAGGGAGGGAGATGGGGAAAGCCAGAGAGGTAGACAGGGGATGGGAGCGAGGGGGGATGGAGGCAGGGAGCATGTCTGCAGAGGGAGGCGGAGGGGACAGCACACGGCGAGTGGGGGGGGGAGGGGCGGGACGGGCGGCTCTCTCCCGGCCCCTGGGGGCCGCCCCAGCCCAGAGGTTACGACTGAATAAATAGCGAGTCTGCTCGTGGCCTGCTGTCTTCCGTTCACAGTGTCTGTCAGGGGGACGCGCACGGCCGGCTGACCCCGGGAGGCCGGCTGACCCCGGGACGGGAAGGGCTGGGGCCTGGCGAGCCCATCTGTCCACGGCTGGTGGGCAGGGGGCTGGGGGTGGGTCGGCACCCCCTACTTTCTGTCCTCAGCCCTCAGCAGCTGTCCAGGTCCCAGGTCTCCCCTGGTGGGCAGCTGGGTGGCCAGGTGGGGAAGGGGGGCCTGTGGCCATGCCCCTGGCCCCCGGTGGGGCTGGCCGCCACCACGTGGCTACCTGAAGAAGGGCAAGTGGTGCTGGCTCAGGACTCCGCTAGTCCTCGGTGACTCAGTCTTCGCCATGACGTCCTTGAACCAGGATGCCACATCTACCTCCAGCATCTCGTAGCGCTTGATGAAGCTGTGTTCCTGTGGGCCGAGGGGTGGGGCTGAGGACCAGGGAGGCTCCCCCGGGGCGGCTGCTCAGGCCCCGGGCGGACGTCCTGGTGGGAGGGGGCGGGAAGGGGCCCCAGGTACTCACAAGTAGCTTATTATACTTTGGTCTCTTCCTGTGATCCTTAGTAAGGCTGAAGGAGAAGCAAAGAAAAGTAAGAACCGGGGAAGGAGAGGCCTGGCTGCCCTGGGGACTCATGTGTCCCGGCTCCGAGATGGGGGTCTTCAGAATCTCGGGGAAGGAGCTGCTGTGTGCTCGCGGCCCAGGGCTGCTTCCTGAAAAGCCCGAGGACCCAAGGCCTGCACTTGGGAATCCCGCCTGTGACAGAAGCCCAACCTGGACGGAGGGGCTCGTGGGGGAGGTGAGCGGGGCTCTCGCACGGGACAAGCAAACGTGGACACGACGCAGGCAGGATTCGGCTTGCAGCGGCTGGACACACAGAGCCCCTGGCGCTGGGGCCTATCTGCTGTCCACAACCTCCCACGGCAAAGGGCAGGCTCAGGCCGGGGCCAACCCCGACTCCTAATGCCCAGGGCTCCGGGCCCAGCTCCTGCCTGCATCCCTGCCGGGGGCGCTTCCACAGTGGGGGCGGGGGCTTCTCCGTTCAGTCTGGGCCCGGAACCCCCTAGAACCCAGGCGGGCCGGCGGGCTCCTCACCAGTCTTTGACGAAGGACTGAAAGTCCCCTGAGAAGCCCATGTGGCCGGGCAAGAGCGGGGGCTCTTCCTGTAGGACTTTGGTGAGGACTTCAAAGTCTGTCTTGCAGTTCTTGTAGGGAAACTGTCCCGTCGCCAGCTCCACCTAGAAGAGAGGACCGGGCTGGACGGGCTGAGCACGGGTTCCTCCCCTCCCTTCCGCCTCCTTCTGGATCCCGAGGAGATGCTGCCCAAAAGGCGGGGGCCCCCACTCACCAAGGAGATGCCCAGGCTCCACACATCGGCCCGGATGTCGTAGTCTGGCTTGGTGGGATCCGGGGGGTCTATGCGCTCCGGCTGCCGGCAGGAGAAGGGGAGGATGTACCCCCAGGCCGGTGCGGGCGCGCCGCCCCGATCCCCCACGCCCGCCGCCCGCCCGCCCAAGCGCTGCGGGGCTCCCACTCACGGCCATGTAGGCGGCGCAGCCAGCGCTGCGCGTCTTGGCCTTGGAATCGACCAGACGGCCGCTGATGCCAAAGTCACAGAGCTTGATCTGGCCCCGCTCGTCCAGCAGGATGTTGGAGGGCTTGACGTCACGGTGGATCACGCCGTGCTTCTCCTTCAGGTAGTAGAGCGCCTTCACGATCTGCAGCGAGGACAGCGGGAGGGCACCAGTGACGGGAGGACGGGGCCCAGGGGGGACGACCCGGCCGGCCGCACCCCTGCCCGGTCCGCTCACCGCCACCGTCATCTTGCCCAGGATCCGCTCGGGGATGGGGCCCTGCACCCGCTTCTTGAGCTTCTCAGCGCACGTGCCCATGAGCTCCATGGCAATGAAGACATCCGTCTGCGGGGGCAGCACAGGGAGGCTTGGGCACGGCTGCAGCCCCTACCCACCCCCCCGCCACGGACTCCAGCCGTGGAGGAGGCCCCGCGGAGCCCCCAGAGAGGCAGGGGAGCAGCGGAGGCCGCCGGCCGGGCGCACACTCACATTCGTGATGAAGGTGCCGAAGCACTGCACGATGTAGGGACAGTCGTGGCTCTTGAGCACCACGTCCAGGTCCATGAGGATCCGCTTGTTCTCCTCCTTATTCCCGGAGCGCCGCATTTGCTGCACGGAGGGCCAGGGGAGCCTTAGTGCCGGGGTCTCAGGGCAGGGGAGGGGGCGCCCACCTGGGGCGGGGCTCACCTTGACGGCGATGACGTGGCCCGTCTTCCGGAAGCGCATCTTCCACACCTGGCCGCACGTGCCGCTGCCCATTTCCCCCAGGTTCTCCAGATCGTTGATTTCTGCTTGGTAGCGCTGGTAAGGACGGCCAGAGCTGGAGGATGGGCCAGGCCTGGGGCACCGCCCCCACCCCAAGGCCTAGCCCCGAGGTGCGTCTTGCCCACCCCCCAGGGGGCCAGGGCCAGGGTAGTACCTGGCCCCCGATGGTCAGGTAGCCCGTCTGCTTCATGATCTCCTGCAGCTTCTGGTCAATCTCGATGCTGGGGGGGACAGGGAGGAGGTCCCGGTGGAGGAGGATCCCAACCAAACCGAGGCCACCCCAGTCCCCAACACACAGGGGTTCCCCTAAATTTAACCACCCTCCTCTCTGGAGCAAGCGAAGTGACCCCCCCCCCCCCCCACTGGCCAGCTGGGCCCGTCCCAACAGCTTACCTCTCCATGCTGCGGGGCATGAACAAGGTTGGCGGAAGCCCCAGCATGTTGCGGGGCCGGGCAGGGGGCGTGGGGTGCTGTGGGGAGCTCTCGGAGGACGGTGAGCGGCTGCCCCCATCATTGGCCAGTGGGAGCTGGAGGGCTGGGGGGGGTGAGAACCAAGGGTGAGAGGGGGTTAGCCACCACCTGGCACTCTGGGGCCTTGGGACTCTGGTCTCCCCCTCCCTGGCACCAGGTAGGCCAGCACAGACCCCCCAGCCCCCACCCCATTGGGCTGGAGGAGCTAGCGTCTCCCTGACCACTCTCAGGGTACCTTCTCCCACCCCCCTGACCTGGAAGAAGATGGAGTAGGCTGGCAGGGAGAGGTGGTCCTCAGAGGCTGAGGGCTGTCCCCAAGTCTATGCTGACACGGATCACGGCCCAGAGACTGATGACATCCTTCAGCCAGGCAGCCTTCCTGATATGTCCCTTTCCTCCCCACCTCTGCCCAGGAAGCAGACCCAGGGCCACAGTGCCCACACTCTGGACCATGTGAGGAAGGAATGCCTGCCAGGATCAGCCTGGGTTCTGGGCCTGTTGGCAGCACTGACCCTGGCTGCCCAATAAGAATCAGGCAGACCACCCCAGGGAGACACTGGGCGAGGGCCCCATACTTCCAGCTGCCTTGCCCCACGTTCTGTTCCAGGGTCAGGGAGGGCCACCCTCTAGCCAGCAGGCTCATCTCTGAGCCTCCCAGCTTGGCCTGCAAAGCTAGGGCCAATGGGTGGGGGCAGGCCCCCAGGCTGGGCCTGTGTCCTCGGGGTGAGGGGATCCAGGTGGCACAGCCCCTCCAAGGGCTGGTGGGATGTGGGGGTGGGGAGTGGGCCAGGCGGTGGGGGCTTCTCAGCAGCCTGCATGCGGACAGCTTGGGCATGCTACAGGCAGGCGGGCAGGCAGCGGGCAGGCAGCGGGCACCCCGGGACGGGCAGGCGGCATTCGGGGATCGGGAGGGCAGGAGACAGACAAGACAGATGGGAGCCAAGACTTGGGGCCCAGCTGCCCAGAGGAGGCACTGCAGAGACAGGCCGGACAGGGGCCCGGGACAGAACAGTAGGTTCCCTGCGGGGCTAGGATCCTCCCTGGCTGGGCTGGCAGTAGAGTGGGAACAGAGATCCGTGTGGCCCCTGGAGAAGACAGATAATCCTCCACTGAAGCCTCGTACCCCAGAGGCCCTGGTGCTCCAGAAGGGGGTCCCTAGCTGGGTAGGGCACTGGCTGAAAGAGTCTCCAAGTGGGGCCAGAGAGGACCTTCCTGTGGAGAACGGCTGGCCGGGAGACCGGGGGCCTGCCACTCTCCCACAACCCTCAGCTGATGCCCCCTTCTCTGCCTACACCCCCTGCCACGCTCCACGCTTCCCTCCCACAGTTCTGCAAGCACCTGGTAACGTGGGCCCAGTGACCAATGGACAGAGACAAATATGCTCGAACTGCTGGCATCTGGGTACTTTCCCCACATTGTTACCCTGGGCCCCTGACCACATCCAGAGTGAGGGAGCAGGTACAGGATCCTAACCTGCAGTCATAGAAGGGACATAGGTCTTGCTAAGGCCTGCTCAGAGCAAAAGAAGAGCTCGGGAGAGCCCAGGGAGATGGCCAGGCCTGGCACCTGCACGGGCCTGGAGGCCTCACCACCTAAGCACCCTCCCTGCTGCTCTAGTCCCTGGCTTTGTAGTGTCCTTGCTTCACTCCTCTGTCATGGTCAAAGTCCTAATCTCTCCCTCTCTCGCTCAACCACCTCAGGGGCACCTGAGGGGCCCCCCAATGCTCCCCTGTACCTGGACTCTCTGAGGATACTGCCAGGCTCTCGCCCCCTGGGGGTATCTGGGCCCCTTTTCTGCCCTGCATGGTCAGCTCCTCTCTGGGGTGAAGACCACACCCCTACCCTCTCCACACTTCTGGGGTGGGGGGACAGATGCTTCCAGTGGCCCTACAAACTGAAACACGGTGGGGACTTGAGGGGGGCTGGTATAGGGTGGCTAAGGTGGGGGAAGGGAGGAGGTACACAAAGGCCCTGAGAACAGAGGTTACAGAGGTGGTGACAGGCCACGCGGCAGGTCAGGAGGGCACAGTGAGAGCAAGAGGCTGAGTGAGAGAGAGAGAGAGAACAAGAGAGCGCATGGAAGCACACGGCTAACAGGGGCCACAGACGCACCAGGCTGTCAGTCCGACACACATGCACGCGTGTGTGCGCACGCACACACACAGGACGTGGCAAAACCCCACACGCACACAGACGATACGCCGAGAGCCCTGAACAGAGCCAGGCCCACGCTGTCTTACACACACACACACGCGCGCGCGCACACACCCCCCTGCCCCAATCTAGTTCCACCTACACAAGGGCCAACAGGGCCAGACCCCACCCAGCTGTCTGTCTCTCTGTCTCTTGTGCTCACTCACACACACACACACACACACACACCCCCCGCACACATCTGCTCCAGACCCGCTAGCGACTGCGCTCAGGCCCCGGCCGGCTGCTTCCTCCACCTTCAATCTCCGGCTCCCCGCCTGCCACGACCCGGTGCTCAGATACCAGCTTCTCCAGAGGCTTCCCCGACTGACCACCCCCTGAAGAACCGGCCTTTTCTACAAGGCATCACTGCTTTCTCCACCTCTCCCGGACCGGGAAAGTGCTCACTGTCCGTGAGCGTCAGCCACGTGTCGAGTGGCCCGCGGTCCCTTCTGTCCACTGCTGTGTCCCGAGTCGGGCGATGCGTGTTCGCTGTGCTGTTGAAACAAATCAACAGGCACAGTGATGGCCTGGCGCAACTCTCTCTCTCCCCCTTACACGTGCACGCACACTACACACGTGCGCACATACATGACCCCTTACACACACACGCACACACGTGACCTCTCACAGGCGGCAGACTCCCGGTGGGTAAAGGAGCTCACTTCCTCTTCCAGGGAGTCCAAACCTGAGCCCACCAGGAAGGGAGGAGTGGAAGGCGAGTGGACACAGAAGAAGAGGCCAAGTGGGCCGAACACTGTTGATCGCTGATGGTGTGGAAGGAGAGAAAGTAAGAGTGACAGGCGCGCACGCGCACACACAGCATGGGGGGTGGGGGAGGGCATTCTGCGGCGGGGCAGCGGTTAGGTCAATGGTGCAGATGTCCAAGCGACGATGATAAAAAGGCTGGTACCTGCTCGTTGGGACGGGGCAGGAGCAGGGCTTAGAGTGATCACAATAACTGGATGGGGAAAAGGAAGAAAAAAAACAACACCACGATAAATCACAACAGAAACAACTGATTTGTCCAAAAGAAAAGAAATCAAATCATAACGAAGAAGAGAGGGAGGCGCGAGGCACCAAATTGCAGAGACGGGTAGAAATCGACAGAAATGGGAGGACCGGGAGCATGGGATGGAGCTGACAGACACAGACGCCTGGAGGGGGCTCCTCAGGGGCCTTCCCGCCGTGGGCCTCACTGTACCTCGCTCTGCACCTCGGACAGCCACCCCATAAGGCAGCCCCGGCCCCATACCCAGCCCTGTCTCATCCATGCCGGGGCTAGGGGAGACAGCACCGCACAGCCCAGCAGGGACCCTCCAGTCCTGGGAGGGCTTTCCGCCCCAGGGAGGAACCCACGCTACCCCAAGTCAGAAGAGTGAGGGATGAGGAGTGGACCGCACACAGGGACTGGGGGCGGTCAGGCTGTGAAGGTCAGGCTGGGTGAGCAGGGAGTGACCCCAATACCCCGTTATGGGGGTGCGTGCCCCCTCCTACCAGGATGACCCCACAGGGAGCTACATAAGCTACAAGGATCATATCAGAAGTACAAAGGAGGGCCATTCACTGTTCTGTAGAGACACAAAGTGTGTGGTGGGGTGCTATTCATCAGGTCTGTGGGGAGGGTGAAGACCTGATGCCCTCCAGCTGAGAGATTTGGGGAGGGCGTTTCGTGGGACATAAAGAAACTAGACAGTGGTTGTGGTAATCCCAGGCCGGGTGTGAGTGTTGGGGGAAGGAGGAGCAGCTTTTGATTCCAGATGATAAAATGCCAGGGAGGTAGTCACAGAGATAGCGGGATCAGAGAGAAGTGTACGTGGGCTGGGAGGTCGAGATATCACCACACTGGCCTCACGTACCCCTAGGCCAGGTGAGTGTGGGTGTGCAGGGAAGAGTCCAGGTGAGGAAAAGCTGCTAGGCTGGGGGTTCGGTGTGTATTTTTGGAGAAGCTAGACAGTCCCCAAGATGGTGGCAGTGAAACCAGTCAGAGAAGTCTGAGGGGGCCTGGTGTATGTGGGTAGGGTGTGCGTGGGAGGGGGCCTGCTAGGCCCAATGACAAGGTCCCAGCCTGGGAAAAAGGGATTACTGGACACAGTCAAGGGAAAGAGGTCAGAGGAATAGGGAGTTATATGTGGTCAAACGACCTCAGGTGTCACCCGGGCCAGGTGCGCGTGTGTATGAGTGTGAGTGGATCATCCACTGAACCATCTGACGAGGACCCAGGTGCGGAATGGGGCAAGGGGCCTCCTGCCAGGCACTGAGACGGCAGGAGCGAAATCATCTGGTCGGAAGGGGCGTCCGTGTTTGCGAGGAATCTGGATGTGGTCGCGGTCGCGTGGATTAGGGGAGCGCGGCTCCGGGTAGGTGAGGGTGACAGGCTCCGAGGATCACGGTGAGGGGGCGGGTCATCAGGTGGGGGGCCCTGCCCTGGGGCCGGGTAACTGGGCTCGTAGGCCCCGTAAGGGGGAACCCCTACGTTGGAGGAAGACCGCCCGGGAGCCCGCGGCCCCACGCCCCCCGGGTCACCGTGACCCTCTCCCCCCCCGAGCCGACAGCGGGGGGTACGCGGTGGCGAGGAGGAGGAGCAAGAGCGCCCCGGAAGCGGGGGCGGGGCCTGACGACGGGGGCGGGGCTGCCCGCGGCGCGCGCCCCGCCCCGCCCGCCCCCTCCCCCACGCCGCCGTGCTTACTGGGCCTGGGCCGCTGGGGGCTGATATCCAGGTTGAGGTCGATCCTCCGCCGGGCCTCGCGATTCTCCTGCTTCAGCTTTGCTTCCAGGCGGGACAGCTTCTGCTCCAGGGAGGACGCCGCCATCTTCCCCGCCGCCGCCGCGCACCGCCCGGCCGCCCGTCAGTCCGGCAGACAAACACCGCACTGCGCCTGCGCCTGGATGACCCCACCGAGCCGCCGTCTCTCCCTGCACGGCGCATGCCCGCGGCGCGCACTCGCCCATCCCGCGTGCCTACCCTCCGCGCATGCGTGCTTCTTCCCAGTGGGAGGGGTGACGCCACCTAGAGCTCGCGTCTGGCAACGTGCAAATCCTCTCACTGTGCTGCGCACGCGCGGATTCCGAGCGCACTCTCGAGAGGCGCTGTGTTGAAATCCATTCACTGTTCTGTAGAGAAGGGCGGGCGGGGAAAACGGCGCGCCTGCGTACGGAGGGGTAGACGCGATGCCGCGCGTGGCCCTTGGTGCGCATGCGCAACATTGGCTCGCTGTTCTGCCGCTGTTACTGGGAGTAGCTCCTCGTTTTCGCTGTTCCCCGCCCGGCCTGTTCTCTGGCACCCACGCTCCCTCCCAGCTGCCTTTCTCGTCTGGGACAGTGCTTCATTAGGATCCCTGTTAGGCTTAATTGCTGCCTCCTCACCATAATTAGGCGCCCGTGGGGAGCCCTTTCTATTTCAGCAAGCTCGGGCTTGACCAAGGACTGGCGGGAGGGGCGGGGTAGGGCTCCGTCACTGTAGGGGCCCTAGGACCAGCGGCATGGGGGACCCCTGATCTCGACCACAGGGCCAGGGTCATGGCCAGAAGAGTTCCAGGTCAGACCCAGATGGGATATTTTAAGACTTTCCCTCGTCTTCCTTCCCCGGAATGTGAGCCCAGCTCCTGGACAGTGCAGGAGACGGGCCTTGGTGTTAATGCGCCTCGGCCTGTCTTCCCCGCCGCTTAACTGGTCCGATGGGTGCCGGGGAAAATGTCCGCAACTGGAATCCTGGTTTTCGGAAAGCAGCTTGCCTCTGCTCTCGTTGCCAGGAAGAGGCTCGCCTTTTGCAGACACCTCGAGGTGTCCAGTCCCAGGAGGTCAGGGTCAGTCAGGCTGTGCCCTACCTGCTCCTGGTCCAGCGCAGGAACACTGGTGGGCGCTGAAGGCTTGTGGGGACTTCTGTGGTGACAACTTATGGTGGAACAGATACAAGAGAGTGGAGTTTGGAGAATTAACAAGGAATGTAGAGGAAAAGGGGTTCTCCAGAAAAAAGCTGGGCAGAGGATGCCACCTAATTTCTCCTGATAAGCTGAGGTCTCCCTGCCTCTGCTTCCGGGACAGAAACTCATAGCCTTGATTCTGGCACGTGAGTGTCTTTGCTTGCCTGTAATTGGTCTGGTGAAATGGAAGGCTTAGACAACAGAAGTGGATAGCAGAGATCAGAAGTTTAGTTCTCATAATTCATATTATTTATTAAGCACCCACTGATAGATGCTCCCTCACGCAGGGAACACTTGAGAGACAAGTCTCTGCCTGTGCTCAGAAGAATGTAACCTCCACGGCAGGCATTCTTAACCCTGGAGTCTGCCATCCTTAGGATGTCCACGAGTGGCCCTCTGGGACATCTGGGGGAATCTGTTGACTGCCTGAAGTTGCTTGCGGACATTTGCGTGTATGTGTACCTGAGCATTTTCCTGGGAAAGGAGGTGCCCAGCTTTTATCAGATGTTCAAAAGTTCTAGGACTTAAAAAGGGTTCAGAATCCCTGCTCTGGACATCCAGATTCTGTAGGTCCATAGTTCCCAACATACAGGCCTAGGACCACCCTGCATCAGAGTTACTTGGGATGTTTATTTATAGGCAGGTTTCTGGCCTCCAACCAGACCTGAGTCAGTCTTTCAGGGGTGGGGCCTGGGATGTTTTGTTTTGGGGATGTTGATTTTGATGCATAGCCAAATATGAGAACCACTTTTCTGAGTTCACGTGTCTGTAGCAAACAACTTATAAATAAGGGATTGACATCAAAGTTGGGGGCGAGGGTCGCTGGTCCCTTGTGTCTGTGTCCCCTCCCTGGGAGAGAATCCCAGAAATAAGCTGTTTTGGTCGGGGCCGGGGGCGGGGGTGTGGAGAGGGTTGAAATCCCATTGGGATGTGCCCCACCCCCATATATGGCACTAATTGAGCTAGAATGTCCAGGGGCAGGGCAGGACAGCCCGCCAAAGACACAGGTATCTTTGGTCTGAGAATCCTATGACTGAGTTAATCCCTCTATGATGTTCCACCCCAAATCCACAGCCTCCTGTCTCTTCTCAGACAGACCAGTCCCAGGATCCTGCCTGGACCCCACAAGGTTGATGTGTCTGCTCCTCCTCTCCTGGCCCAGGCCCTCTTGGCCACCTCTCTTGAAGACAACAGTAGAGGTTCTGGGGTGGAAGCATCCAGAAGGCCTCTTACCCCAACCTTCCCCACCTCTGCTTTATTCCTCCTCCAGCTTCTCCCGCACCTCTGCCGGCAGGCCCTCGTAAAGAGTGTCCTCCACCAGGAGCCCCACTTTCTTGAGTCCCACACAGTTGCCAAGCTCTTCTGGCAGGGCCTCCAAGCGGTTACCCTTGAGCTCCAGGCGGCTGAGGGCTCTGAGGGCCCCCACCTGGGGCGAGAGCTGGCTCAGGTGATTGTAGCCCAGGAGCAACGTCCGCAGCTTGCGGCAGAAGAAGAGCTCGTCGGGCAGGGCCTCCAGGGCATTGTAGGACAGAGCCAGGTGCTGCAGGTTCTGGAGGAGGCCCAGCTCGGGTGGCAGGGAGCGGAGCCCATTGTGGGAGATGTCCAGGAGGCGGAGGCCGGAGCACATGCCCAGCTGGCTGGGCAGGGTCTCCAGCTTGTTGTGGCTGAGGTAGAGCTGCTCAAGTCCCCGGAGCTTACGCACGTGCTCGGGGACGTAGGCGATCTGGTTGTGCCACAGCCTGAGCGTGACCAGCTTGCGACAGTGCTGGAAGCTGAGGATCTCCTCAATGGACCGCAAGTGGTTGTCCTTGAGGTCGAGTTCCTGCAGCGCGCCCAGGCTGAAGATGGCATGGGGGATGCGCTCCAGCCCACAGGCCACCAGCTCGAGCTCCCGCAGCGCCGCCAGCTTCTTGAGGCTGTTAAGGGCCAGCAGGCGGGCCCCATCGTTGTGCAGACTGAGCCGTTGCAGATGCCCGGCCACGTCAGTCACGCTGGCTGGCACCTTGCTGGCATTGCTCCGCAGAGACAGCACCTTGAGCTGCTTCAGCTCCCGGAGGCTCTCGAGGGTCGCCGCCCGAGCCAGCTCTGGGGGGAAGAGCCCCTCCAGGTGCAGCTCCTCCAGGCCCCGCAGCCCGAACACCCACAGGGGCACCTCGCGGAGCTCCTCACACTTGACGCGGATGACCTTCAGGCGGTCCCGCAGAAAGATCTGCAGGGAGAAGGGCAGCCTGGCGGGTGAGTGGAGCAGGCTGAGCTCCTGCAGGTTCACCAGCTGTGAGAGGCCTGGGGGGAAAGTGATATCACAGATGGCCTCCAGCCGGAGCGCCTCCACCTCGCTGAGCTCGAAGACAGTGTCGGGCAGCCCCGGGAGCATGCAGAGGGTCAGCTCGAGCTGGCCCCGGGCGTTGCGCTGCAGCTTCTGCCGCAGCTTCTCAGGCGTCCACTCGTGGTTCAGGTTGAGCTGCTTCAGGCGGCTCTCACTGACTTCAGAGAGGAAGACGGCGAAGCGCTTGGAGTAGAGCGAGTCATACTGGTCGATGAGGTGTAGCATGAAAGCAAAGTCATTCTTGACATCCGGTATGTCACCCATGCCGGTCTCCTCCCGCACTGAACGGAAGGAGTACTCCTTGAGGGGCCGATGGAAGAGCCAGTAGAGGGTGTAAAGACAGGTTAGCCCGTAGACGCACACAAAGGAGATGTAGCAGAAAGCCAGCTTGGAGAAGAGGTGGGCCTTGGTGTGATTGCAGCAGAAGCTGGCGTAGCCTGTGACCTCCGAGGTCTCTACCCTGCAGGCTACCAGGAAACTGATGTTCTCCACATAGACCAGGTTGTAGACCAGGATGGCAAAGAACTTGCAGACTTTGAGCACCGTTTGCCGGATGTACATGGTATACAAGATGTCTCCCTCCTCCACGTGCATGCGGAACTTCTTGACCTTCTCAAACAGGGCTTTGGCCTGTTCACCCTCCTTCTTATCCAATAGGGTGACGGCCGGTGGCTCAGTGACCACCTTCTCAGGCTCCACCAGCACCTTTTCCTTCTCACCCTCACTTGCTTTCCCTGGCCCTGCGGAGGCCTCCATGGTCGCTGTTGCCCGTCCCGCGGCGGCGCCCTTGTGGTTCTCCCCAGAGACCTCGGACAGGGCCCGCGTGGTCCACGGTGAGTCGAAACACTTGCCCAGAATGGAGGTGAAGTGCTCGATCTTAGAGCTGGTGCCAGGGAACTTGAACCAGAAGCTGGTGCAGACCATGAACATGAGCGTGTGAATGACGACCAGGTAGGGGAAGTACTTGGCATACCAGTGGAGGGCTGTCTCGTAGCAGAGCTGGTTAATGAAGCTATACTGCTGTAGGTCCAGGTTGTTCTTGAGGCCGCTGACCTCCCGGAGGCCCCCCATCTCCTCGGAGACCCCCCGTGGCAGCAGTTGCTGGCATGGGGCCTCTGATAAATTCTCCCGGAGTTCATGACTGGGCAGACAGATGATCTTGTCCTGGGTCACCTGGGAATGAGGGTGGGGGAAGAGGGTCAAGGAGCTGGCTCGGCCTGCATAGTTGGGGGGGGGGGAGGCGGGCTGAATGTGGGAGGAGGCCCCAGTCCCTGACTGTCCTGAGCTGGCTGTGGTTTTGGAAGAATCGCTAAACCTCTGGAAGCACCTCAGTCTTTGAAAAAAGGAGTTAGCTTGAATGGGATCCTCCCGCTCTCCCCCCCTCCCTGCCCCCGCAAAAGATACTGAAGTCCTAATCCTTAATACCTATGAATAGATAGTCTTTGCAGAGCAGACGTGATCAAGTTAAGGTGAGGTCATTAAAGTGGGCCCTAATTCAGTATGACTGTGTCCTTTGGACATAGACACACACACACACACTGAGGAAAGATGAGCGAACGTCATCTATAAACCAAGGAATGCCTGAGGCCACCGAGGAGCCGGGAAGGAGAAAGGCATGGAACCAACGCTCCCTCACAGCCCGCGGAAGGAAACAATCCTGTCAACACTTTGACTTCACGCTTCCGGGCTCCAGAATTGCGGGAAAGTTAGCAGGAAGACTTCCGGAATCCCCGGCCCCGCCCCGCCAGGCCCCGCCCGCATCGGCCCCGCCCCTGCGCCCTCGCCTCCAGGCCCCGCCCCCTACGCCCAGGCCGCGCTATGCCCAGGCCCTGCTCCGGCCTTGCGCCTTACCTGCAGGGTGCAGCCAAAGACCCCGATCATGAGCATAGCCACGGTGAGGTACTCCGCCAGCACGTCCCACCAGGGTTTGAGCACCTTGAAGGCGGGCTGCTGTTCCGTGAACTGCTTGAACTCGGCCACCGGAATCATCTTTCCTGCGGGAGATGGGGAGGCAGGGGTTGCAGAGACCCTCAAGAGGGGGCGCCTGGTCGTGGGCCCCCAGCGAGTCAGACACGTGCCTCTGCTCCCAATTTGTGCTCTTGCCTGCCCAAATCTGGCAGAGCGCACGAGCTGTGTGCCCCCTTCCCCTCTCCCCCAGACCTCCCCTCCTTCCTGAAGCCAATCTACTACAGTTCTCCCCACTTCTGCTCCCCGGGATCCCTGCCCCCATCTGACGCTGCTGGCCCTTTCGGACGGACAGTCCACGGGGCCGCTGTCCCCCAGCTAGCCCGTGTGGCCCTCTCCCAGAACCCAGCCACCGCCCACCCTTGATGCCAAGCCCGAAACGCTCGCTCTGCTGCTCTGACTCCAGACACCTCGTGTCCGGGCGGCTGGCCCCGGCTCTCTCTGCCACTGGGCCGGAGAGCCGCTGAGGCAGGCTCGGGACTTCCGGGGTGTGGGCCCCCCCACCCCCTTCAGGGGCGCTCCAGGCACCACCTCCAACCTCCAACCGGAAAAGCCGGCTGGAGCCTGGCTCTGGTTACAGGGCCCGAGGGGCAGGGAGTGGCAAAACCGAAGGCTGGTCAGTTAGGGGGCGGGAGGACTAGGACACCTGGGTGTCTAGAGGGGCTGGTGCCCAGAATCTGGGGCAGAAAACAGAAACCTGGGTAGGGGGTGTCAGGATGGCCGAAGGGCAGAGGATTGGGAAATGGAAAACGCAGGGAGCAGCCGGAGTGACACCTACGACCCGGCTGGGGCTGGGCGGCCAGCCCACTCTGTCCCTGGGTTTCGTTTTAGACCAAGGTATCATTATTTCAGATACGGACGGCCAGGAGCAAGTCCCATGGGGGCGTGTGCCACGAGCTGGGACATCACCCTCCCAGGCAGGCAGCTGGGGAGGCTCCCTCCTCCACTCCCTGAGGCTGGACGGAAGGAAAGGGAGGCAGCAAGGCCCCCACTGCTTCCAAGGGGGCTCCTAGGCTCGACTGCCCCTCCCAGCATCCGTGCTCCTCTACCCTGCCAGTTTTCCCACGTGGGGTTCCTGGAGGCTGGGCAAGGGAGGGAGGCATCTGGGCCATCAGCTGGTCCCCCAGCCTTCCACCCATTGCTTAGGGGGAACCTGGCCCTGGACCACACCTCAGCCAATTACTCAACACTTCCCTCCCTCCCTTTTTTGGTCCCCAGGTGCATGAGGCCTTGGGTTGACTCCTGGTTGGGGATGGGGTGGATGTGGGCAGGGATACAGGATGCGGGCTCTGCCCACCAGGCTGAGGGTGGGGCAGTTCACCACACCTTCTAATCCCATCAGAGGCCCTCACTTTGGGACGGCAGGGGCAGGGCCCCCTGACTCAGGCCCTGACTCACCCAGAATCAGGCGCAAGCAGGGGATGCTCAGACAGAACCGAGGCTCCCTCCCACAATGCCCCATCCTTCACTCTCAGTGTGAGTGTAGAGAGAAAGAAAAGTTGAGTGTATCAGTCCAGTCACCGGGGAATCTTAGAGAAACATATGCAGGGTGGCTCAACAGCACCCAGGGGCCCAATGTACACTAGCCATCCAAGGGGACACCTGGGGGCATTCTGAGTGTGCATCTGGATGTACACACTGAGCTGAGGGGGAGACCCAGGACCAGTTCCAGCCAGCCGCTGTTCTCCCTGCCCTGGGGACCTGTCCCTCTGAGGGACCCCACTCTGCTGTTTAACCTAAGAAGAGTACTTCTGGGGGCTGTGACAGAAATAGACGGGCAGGGACCAACTTCCTGGCTGTGTCCATCTCACACTGCTGGGAGCAGGGACCAACTTCCTGGCTGCGTCCATCTCGTACTGCTGGGAGCAGGGACCAACTTCCTGGCTGCGTCCATCTCGCACTGCTGGGAGCTCCAGCACCCCCCACGCCAGGACTACAATCAAAGGCAAGAAGGCAGAGACACCCAGGGTCCCCAGGGGAAGGCCCCCTGGCTCCCACGGAACAAGGTATATACACAACACAAATCGGAGGCAGACACGGGGGTTATCATTATCTGTCTCCATGACTCAAACAGGATGGTCTGAACCTGCCATTAAGCTTCCACAGACACAAGACTGGCCCCCCTTTGTCTGAGCAGGGCTGGTGGGAGGGCCCCGGGGCAGAGGGCTTGAGCTAGGGGGAGTTCAGAGGAAAACAACCACAGGGCCACATGCAGCTTATGGCCACCAGATGCTTCCAGGACCTCCTTTTATCCCAACTCTGTGGGGGGGGAGAGGGGGGTTGCTGCAACCCTCATTTTCCAGACTCACGGGGAGGGAAATAGCCAGCTCGAGGTTTCACAGCTACAAGTGGTATTTAAGGCGTAACCCCCAAGTCTCGTCTGGCTGGTGGCACCCCCTGTATTGTGGTGGGTGAGAACCTCTTGCTGAGATGCAGCATCTTCGCCAAAAGAACCTCAGAGGGGAGCTCTGGCAGAGAACAGATGGGCCGACACTGCTCTGCCGGCCAGGTTGGGGGCCCCTGGTCCACCTAAAGACCAGGTACTGCCCCCTGCCCATCCTGAGCTCCACCCATCCCTACCTCACCCCTGCTTCTCCTCTCTCAGGCCCTCCCCTGAGCTCCCAGCTGGCCTCCCAAAACAGGGAGTGGTGGGTGCTCCTGGTCCGACCCCTCCTCACCCACAGCCCATGCTAATGGGCAAGGAAGACACAGCGATAGCTCTCAGCCCTGAAACAGGCTTTGGAGGACACAGGTCCGATCTTCGACTTACACAAGAGAGAAACTAAGAAAAAAAGCACGAGAAACTGAGGTCAGGGGTGGGGGTGGGGGGTGGCCCCTTAGTAGCAGATCTTGGGCCAGGCCCCGGCTCGGGTACTCCCAACCTAGTACTTTTCTGAGCTGCCCTGCCAGGACTCAGGAGCGAAGGGGGTCTTGAGGTTTAATAGTCCCAGAGGGGGCAACCTGGTAAGGACCCCAAGGGGTATGGTTCTGGGGCATTGAGGGGTTCGCAGAGGTGAGTTGTCGCTGTTGTCCCAGCAGACAAGGAAAGGGGAATGGGGTCAAGATCGCCCCCCCGGGGGGTCTCCCCCATCCTGCTGATCTTCGTTCCGTCCTTGGCCAGGCCCGCCCGCTCCCGCACAGGCGCCCTTGGGCTGGCCACGGCCGAGTCTCTCGCTGCCCCCACCCCCTCCCCAGCTCCTGGTGCGCCCCGGCGGGCCGCGGGCTCGGCGGCAGTGCCAGCGTCACCTGGGGCGGTCGTCACGTGGGCCAAACCCCTGCCTCACCACCCCGTCCGCAGGGACAGAGAGCCACCTACTCACCGCTCCGGCTGGGACGCTGGGCCCAACTTCTGGGTCCCTGGGAGCGGAGCGGCCGGGACTCCCGCAGAGTTCCCGGGCCAGCCTGGGTGAGTCAGGGCGGGCGGGCGGGACAGGAGCCCGGGAGCCGCCCTGCCCGCCCGCCCAGGGGACGTCCCGGCCCCGCCTCCCTTTGGGCCCTCCCAGGTCGCCCCCAACTCCCGGCGCCGAGGGATCGCGGGAGGAGTCTACCTCGGCTCTCCCCCGAGGTGGGTGAGGGGCGGGCCGGAGGAGCAGGGGTCTTAGAACTTTGGGTCAGGCTGCAGTCGGGGAGACCGAGGGGGCCCGGAGGCACTGCGCTCCCGAAACCAGCCTCTGGGCCTCCTTCCAGGATCCAGGCTGTATAGACCCTGTCAGGAACAGGTGAAGAGCCTCCTCCTCCCCAACCCCCACCCCCAGGTGCGGCCACCTGGTCTTCAGGCACAACCAAGGAACCAGTGAACAGAGTCCGGGGAAGGGAAGGGGGCTTCCCTTTTCCTGCTCTGAGCACCCAGCCAAGGGAAGCTGAGCAGAATGGGGGTGCTTATCTGTGTGACCCTGCCCAAGCTTGAGACCTGCTCTGGACTTCTGGGGAAGGGATAGGAGTAAGCTGCTCCTAGGTCTGGGGTAGGGTGGGGGGTGCGGTGAGGGGAAGCACAGGGGCCAGAGGGCTCTCTGGGATCCGGGGCTGGAGTCCAGTCTGGGAGGTTCACTTCTAGAAAGGATGACTACCTCCCCACCCCCACTCATTCCTCCTCAGCCAAGGAGGCCTGAGCTGGGTCTTAGACTAGCAAAGCACCCAGGTCAGCCTGGAGGCGTCTGATGAACCTTGATGGGTTCTGTCTGCAAACCTCGAGGGAGAGGGGACCTGGACGAAATGGGAGAACGAGACCCCTCCCCTGTGGGAAAAAGAAGCCCATGAGTTCACTAGACTCGAGTTCACTAGACAGCCAGAGACCTGAGACTCCAAACCTTGAGGATGGGACCTCCCCTCAGCTTAGGTTCCTGTGTGAAGCCTTGTGATGGGCATGACCCTTGGAGACGTGACATCTCCGAAGTGTCTGTGGGCTCCACCACAGGCAGCCCCAAGATAGACCTTCATTGTGAGGCCAAGATAAGCAAGGCCCCCTTCTCTCTCAGAGCTTCTGCCCGAGTGGGGGCAGCCAACACAGAGGTAAGCATGCAAACATGCCAGGGAACGAGATCTCCATCTGTGACAAGTGCTGTGCATGTAACTACGTTGGGTGAGGTGGGTAACGAAGGCCAAAGCCACTTTGGGCCATCTGAGATGGAGTCATTGCTCCCTCTCCTTCGCCCCCTTCCCGCCCCTGGAGAAGCTCCTTCGGATCCATGCCCTGGGGATGGGGGTGGTGGTGGTTTACAGCTTTATGCTGGAGTGACAATCCTTTAAAAAAAATTAAAAAGATTTTTTTAATAAAGATTTTATTTATTTATTCATGAGAGAGAGAGAAGCAGAGGGAGAAGCAGGCTCCCTGCTGAGCAGGGAGCCCGATGCGGGACTCGATCCCAGGACCCTGGGATCATGACCTGAGCCGAAAGCAGACGCTTAACCATCTGAGCCACCCAGGCACCCCAAAATAAAAAAGATTTTATTTTATTTGAGAGAGAGAGAGAGAGAGAGAGTGCGCACACACGTGGGGGGAGGGGCAGAGGGAGAGGGAGAAGCAGACTCCCCACTGAGCAGGGAGCCCAATGTGGGACTCGATCCCAGGACCCCGGGATCATGACCTGAGCTGAAGGCAGACCCCCAACCGACTGAGCCACCGAGGCGCCCCTGGAGTGAGCATCCTGATACACATCGCTTTGCACACTTATATGAATCTCTGAGGTCACTGGGATGGAAGCCCCATGACCCCAGGCACATGTCCCTCCTGCTCCCCACTGTGTCCCTAACACTTCAGTGGTGCCTGGCACACCGTGGGCATTCAGTAAATGATGGTTGGGTGGATGACTGAGGTGTTGTCTTAGTTCACAGTCCTCTAGCGCAGACCCTGAGACAAGGAATTGGATCCCAGTGGTCTACCTGGAAGGTGATCCCAGGAAGCACTGGAGTGGGGCAACAGGGAGGGGAGACCGGGAAAGGAAGGAGGTGAGTAAGCATGAACAAGGGTACGCGAATGAGGGTAAATGAACAGGTTCACGGGCAGCTAGGGTTCTATTCCGCTGGGGAGCTCTGGGAGATGCTGGAGGACACACCTCCACGTTGCCCCCACCCACTTGGCCGTTGTGGATCATGTTGCCATGAACATGGGTGTGCACTTTCTTTCTTTCTTTCTTTCTTTCTTTCTTTCTTTCTTTCTTTCTTTCTTTCTTTCTTTCTTTTCTTTCTTTTTCCTTCCTTCCTTCCTTCCTTCCTTCCTCCCTCCCTCCCTCCCTCCCTCCCTCCCTCTCTCCCTCCCTCCCTCCCTCCCTTCTTTCCTTCCTTCCTTTCTGCCTTCAATTCTTTTGGGTGGGATTGTTGGATCATATGATACTTCTTTAATTGTTTAATTTTCGAGGAACCACCATACTGTTTTCCACATCCCATTTTGTATTCCTACCAACAGTGCACCTGGGTTCCAATTTCTTCACATCCTCACCAACACTTGTTATTTAATACCCAGCTTTTTAGGTTTTGTGAATGTGATGTAGTTATCTATTGCTGTGTAATTACTGCCAATCCTAGCAGCTTAAAACCACTCGCATTTATTGTCTCCCACGATTTCGGAGGGTCAGGAATCTGAGAGTGGCTACAATGGGTGGTTCAACAGTCTCCCTCCCCACCAGCCCTGGCTACCACGACTTTGCTTTTTGTCACTATAGATTAGCTTGCATTTTCTGGAATGTTATATAAATGGAATCAGGCAGTGCATGGTGTGTGTGTGTGTGTGTGTGTGCATGGCTTCTTTTATTCAGGAGAATGTTTTTGAGATGTGTCCCTGTTTTGAGTGTCTTGGTAGTTTGTTGCTTTTTATTGCTGAGGAATATTCCACCGTAGGGTATACTTTGTTTTGTATAATCCCTGTTGTTGGAATGTTCTTAAAAGAGGGCAGAGTCCAGATCCCAATACAGTGCAGGATGGGTTCAGAGTAGCCTTGGAGGGACCTAGCCCTAGAGAAGGTAGGAGGGGGGGCATCTGGGTGGGTGGCTGTGACTCACTCAGAAGGGCCCTGCTGATGAGTGGGCGCGTGGGCAGGTGGGGGGACCAGGCTGCTGTTGTGTCAGAAGGGGCTCACACAGGTGACACTCGGGAAGACTTGGGGGGAGGTGAGGCCTAGAATGATCCAATCTGGAGGGCAGTGTCCTGAGGAACAGTGAGGGAACACCTCTCCCAGGCTGGGGGGGGGGGGGTTCATTCAAAGGATGGCTACTGAAGAGTTCTGACCTTGCTTTCTTTCTTCCATTCCCTGACCCTCAGTTGTGGGCATAACTCCTGAGGTGAGAAGACCCAAAGTCCTGCTTCCAGCCACACCCTAGTTAAGTCTATCCCCCCACCCCCTTCCCTCCAGGACAGGTTCAGCCAGGTGCCAAATGCCACCCCTTCTTGTCCTGTGCATGGAAGTCCCCCGGTTCCAGACAAGGAATGAACAGCCCATGTGTGGACATGCAGACATGTGATGGGGAAAGGGTTGGGGCAGAGGGCGCTGGTTCTTTGGGATGGGGTAGGGAGTGGCTAAGTCTGAGAGAGGAGGTATCCGAGGCAGAAAGCACTGTGTGTGTGGGGGGGGGGGGCGGCAGAGGGGGTAGGTTGCCTAGCAATAAGTAGAGGTGCAGGAGGGCGCTTGGCATCAGTGGGCCAGTGCAGGGCAGCTGAGGATGGCCATCTCCTTCTTCACACTTCTGCCTCCTTCATGCCACTGTCCCTGGTCAAGGCTCTCCCCTGAGACCCCCTGCAGGAGTTGGTAAAGTCACCAAAATGACACCTCCACTCCCGCCGGCTGTGCTGGGCAGCCTCAGACAGGATTGGCTCTGCTCCTTTATGCACCAGTTTCGACGCCTTCCACCCCATGCCCAATATTGTATCCACATCCCCCCCGCTCCCAAGCTGGGCTCTGCTGACTTGACTTCGCTTTTTCATGTGACACAGGAAGGTGTGGAAAGTGGGGGGTGCTCTGCCCTGCAAAAGGCTGGGTCACCTCTCACAGTCCTGTCTCCCCCTCCCCATCCTTCCTTTCTTCTTCTGTTCCCTAAATCCGAGTCTACCCCTAAATTTCCAGGGCTGCATTCTCTCCGTAGTCCGCCCCCCCAAAACAAGTAGGGGTTTTCTGGGGTCTGGGAAAAGTCTTGGATATGAGAGGGGCGGAGGCTCCCGAGGATTCTGGGGGGCCCGGCCTCCGCGGTCGCGAAGGCGAGGACAGGGACCAGGGATCCTGAGGGCCGGATTGGTTGAATGGGCACGAGGCCCGATGGTCCCGCCCCCTGGTTGCCAGGGCCCAGCCTATCCGCGTCCAGGCGGGCCTCGGTCGCCAGGTGGTTGGGCTGGGGGCCGGGGCAGGTGTGTGCGTTGGGAGGAAGGAGCTAGGCCCTGTCGGGACCCCCAAGGGATTCCCCCCGAGGCCCCTGCGGCTGGGAGTCTGGGGCCCTCTGGCTCAGCCGCGGAGAAGCTGCGCCTCCTTCCACCGCGCCTCTCCCCGCCGCCCCCGGCGCGCTCCCGCCCGCCGCCTCCCGGGTCTGGATCGAGCGCGCGCGCCCCCGTCTCCCCGTCCGCGGCCGAGGGGCGGGCCCGGCTCCCCGCGCCACCGCCCGCAGCCCCCTCCCCTCGCCGACCCGCTGCGCGCCGCAGCCCCGGCGCTCCCGCCCGACCCCACCCCAGGCAACCCAGCGTGGAGAGGCGGGCGGCCGGAGCCCGAGGTGAGCGCGGCGCGAGCAGGTGGAGCGGGCGGCGCGGACGGGGGCCCGGCTGGGGGAGGGGGACGGGCTCCGGACGCGGCTCTTTGTCTCCCCGAGCCCCATCGCCGGCCGCCGGGGCCGCTCCTCCTCCCGGCAGGTGCCCGCATCCTCGGGGAGGGCGCTGGGAGGGGGGGGTGGGGAGGGGGGGGCTGGCGAGGGGACCCGGGCATGCGCTCCCGTCCCCCTCATCTGGAGCCTGGGGCGGCCCCCCCCCGTCCCCGAGGCTGGTGGTCAGGGTCCCTGAAGGGGCGAGGGGTAGGGGCGTGGGTCTCGGGTCCTGAAAGGGAGCAGAGGCGGGTGGGCTGGGGCTGGCAGGGCCTTTCAGCTTTGGAGGAAGGCGGTGGGGGTGGGACTAGGGGACAACCCTGAGCAGCTGGGCGGGTGGGTGGGTGGGTGAGTGGGTGGGAGGGAAGTGGATCGAGGCCGAGGTTTGGGTGCCTATGGGTGGCAACGCTGGGGAAGGGGCAGCGAGGTGCCAGGACAGCGTTGCCGTGCAGGAGATGGGATGCTGATCGGTCTATCTCCTCATCAGGTGCGTGATGGACAAGAGGGACAAGGGCAGGGCAGGGGCCGCCACGCGGACGACGGCTTCTCGCCCTCCCGGCCTTCCTACCCCCAGGCCCCCAGGGTCTCCTCGACCCCCTCCCCCAGTAACCAGCGCGGCCCTCCGCGTCCTGGGAGCAGCGGGAGCTGCTGGGCGGGGGCCCCTGGCCGAGCGAGCTGGGGGTATCCGGGCAGCCGCTCTCCCGGAGGCTGGTCCCCGGGTGGGACCAACGCAGAGCGCTGGGACAGGCCCCCGGAGTCCAGGTACCCCACCCTCTTTCCCCCATTCAGACCCCATCTTCCTGTCCCCCTTTCCTTCTGAGGCTCCAACCTCCCCTTCCTTCCTGGGGGCACCGCCTTGACTTGGCCTTCTCCCTGCAGCCTCCAGGCCCCCAGCTGCTGGGAGAGGGGAGCGGGCCCCTGCCAAGACCCCAGGCCCAGGCTCTATCACTAGCCCGGGACGTGCCAGCGGGACCACCAGGTAAAATGCCTCCCCAGTCCCTTTGGCAAGGGTTAGTGTCACTATCTGTAAACTTAATTTTACACATGAACTGGGGAGTGGAAGCATTTGCAGGTCACTGGGCGCATGTTGAGTGCAAGCCATTATTGGTCCGCAGAGAGGGCATAAATGGGAAAATGTAGACTTGGGAGAAACAAAGAGCTCTGTACTGAGGGCGGCCACTCCTGTTCCTAGGTTAGGCTCTCTTGCGCAGAAGGGGCTTCGGCCCCCAGCTGAGGAACCCGTGACCAGAGGAAAAGCCCCAGAAACCCCCAGAAGGAGCGCGCTGAGCGCCGGGGCACGGAGAGGTACGTGACCTGGGGAGGAGCGGGATTCCTGGGCTAGTGAAGGGGACCAGCCCTGAAGTATCTCTGACCCTCCGGCCTTCTGCTTTGTCCCCAGACTCTTCCGGGCCCTCCCCAGGCGCCCCTTCCCCAGCCACCTCCCGTCGGTCCCGGGCTGCAGGCGCTGAAGTCGGTCTCCCTCGGGCAGCTCCGAGTGCCCGGCCGCGGCCTCCGACCGAGGCCCCCAGGAAATCCGTGAGCAGTGCCCCGCAGCATGGTCCCGCAGAGCCGAGCCCCGCCGCCAGGAGGCGACCCAGCGCTGGTGGAGGCCTCCAGAAGCCAGCCTCGCGCCCCTTGGGCTCCAGCGCCACTCCTCTGTCCTCCCCCTCCCGCCCCGGGGCCTCGCCGGGTGGAACACCTCGGGCTCTGGGGCATCCCTCGCAGCCCAAGTCGAAAGGGCTGCAGGCTCTGCGCACCCCCCAGTCCACACCCGCAAGGAAGGGCGCAACCCCCGTGCTGGGTCTTTCTCCTCCTTTAGCCACGCCCTCTCAGCCGGGTTCGACGGCACAGCTGGCACCACCTCCGCATATCACAGGCACTCCTCTGCCTGACACGCTCCCTCCCTCTCCACCGACCACGCCCCCTTCCCAGTCCGCAACCGGCCCTTTGGCCACACCCCTTCCACTAGCCCCTCCTCCCTCTGCTCCCCTCCCTCAGCAGACCCTCCCCTCTCCGCCGGCTACTCCCCCTTTGCAAGCCCCACCCACACCCCCGGGTACCTCCTTCTTGGAGGCATCCACTTCTCCCACAACCACTTTTCTGGCTTCATTCTCTCCATCATTGTCACCCCCTCTGCAGATTATGCCCCCAACCCAGGCTTCTCCACCTTTGCCCCCTCTTCTGACTCCCCACTCTCCCTTGGCCACACCTCCTCTGTCGGCTCCTGGACCACCAGCCACGGCCCCTCTACCAGCCACGGCCCCTCTACAAGCCTCTTTTACTCAAGCCACATCTCTGCTGAACCCGCCCTCTCCCCAAGCCACACCCCCTCTGCAGGGCCTTTCCACTTTGACTACTACCCCTCCACTGGCCAGTGCTTCCCTATCTCCTCCCCCTCTTCAGGCCACGCCCTATACAGTGACCACGCCTCCCACGCAGGACTCATCTCTGGCCACATACCCTCCGCAAGTTTCTCCCTGTCCTCTGACCACCCTCTCTCTGCAGGGTCCTCCTCTGTGCTCTCCATATCCCTTGGCCTCACCATCTCTGCAGGCTGCACCCTCTCTCCTGGCCAGGCCCCCTCCACAGACCCCACCTCCTCTGGCCACACCCCCTCCACAGGCCACTCCCTCTCCGACCCGGCTCCCTATACAGGCCCCACCTTCTCTGGCCTCACCGCCTCTGCAGGCCCCACCCTCTCCCCTAACCATGCCTCCTCAACAAACTCCAGTGTATCTGGCCACACCCCCTCCACAGGCCATTCCCTCTCAGAGCGTGCTCCCTGTTCAGGCCCCACCACCTCTGCAAGCCCCACTCTCTCCTCCGGTTTCACCCCCTCTGCATGACTCTTGCTCTCCCTTGGCCATGCCCCCTCCCCAGGCTCCACCTTCCCTAGCTTTGCCTCCTCTTCAGGCTCCTCCCTCTCCCCCTGCCTCACCCCCTCCGCAGGCCCCTCCCTCTCCGCGGGCCCCTCCCTCTCCCCTGGCCCCACCCTCTCCGCGGGCCCCTCCCTCTCCGCCGGCCACCTCCTCTCCGCAGGCTCCACCTTCCCTGGCCTTGCCTCCTCTGCAGACTTCTACTCTCCCTTTGCAGGCCCCGCCCTCTCCCCTGGCCACGCCTCCTCAGGCTCCACCTTCCCTGGCGCTGCCTCCTCTGCAGGCCTCCGCTCTCCCTTTGCGGGCCCCTCCCTCTCCTCTGGCCACGCCCCCTCCTCAGGCTCCACCTTCCCTGACCTTGCCCCCTCTGCAAGTCCCTCCCTCTCCCCCGGACTCACCCCCTCTGCAGGCCCCACGCCGCCCCCCGACCCCAGGTCCGGATGCCCCGATCCCGGGCCCACGGCTGACCCTAGCGCTGGCCCCGGCTCCGCCGCCACCGCCCTCGCGCAGCCCGTCCAGTACGCTGAGCGGCCCGGACCTGGCGGGCCACAGCAGCAGCGCCACCAGCACGCCGGAAGAGCTGCGCGGCTACGACAGTGGGCCCGAGGGCGGCGCCGCGACCTCCCCGCCCGCCGACGCGGAGCTCGCCGCCTGCCACCCGGCCTCCTGGAGCCGAGGTCCCGCCCCGCCGCTGGCGGTACGCAGCACCGCAGGTGAGCGGCCCCTGGACCCCGCCGAGCTGTGGGAGGGGCGAGGTCGGGAGGTGGTAGGGGGGCGGGGTGGGAGGCGAGGCTTCCCAGCTCGCGGACGGGGCCGTTGGGTCTGGGGCGGGACGGAGGGAAGGGGCGGGGCCTTGTGGCGGGAGCCGCGCTTCCCGCTTCTTAGGCGCGGCCTGGCGTCCCACCCCGCAGGAGCGTCCCTGCCTTGGCCTCCTGCGGCCGGGTCGGGCTCGGCTGACGGCCTATGCACCATCTACGAGGCTGAGGGGCCCGAGTCGTCGAGCCCCGCCCCAGGCGCGCTGGATCCGGGCCCCGGCCCCGGCGCGGGTAGTGGGAAGGTGGTAGCTGGAGCAGGGGCGGCGGCGGCGGCCTCGCGTGGCGCGAAGCCGGCGCGCCTGGGCGAGCTGCCGCTGGGGGCGCTGCAGGCGAGCGTCGTGCAGCACCTGCTGAGCCGGACGCTGCTGCTCGCTGCGGCTGAGGGCGCTGCGGGCGGCGGCGGCGGCGGCCCAGGGGGCGCGGGAGCTGGTGGCGTCGCGGGGGGCGCCCGGACTGCGCTCAGCGACGCCGAACTGGGCCGCTGGGCTGAACTGTTGTCTCCCCTCGACGAGTCGCGCGCCAGCATCACCTCGGTCACCAGCTTCTCCCCGGACGACGTGGCTTCCCCGCAGGGTGACTGGACGGTGGTGGAGGTGGAGACCTTCCACTGAGCCAGACCCTTAGCCCCGCCCACGACGCCCCTTCCCTACTTTAGGACCCGCCCCTCCGGTTACGCCTCTCGGTCTTAGACTGCCCGCCTGCCCTCCTCCGGGAGCCTGGCTCCCGGTAGATTGGACATAGCCCCCGGAGGCCTAGATTTGGGGCCAGGCTCGCGACCCCCCCACGCCTCTGGCCAAGGTCTTTCCCCTCGAGCCCCGCCCCCTCCCTGGCCTAGGCCCCACCCCATGTGTGAGTATTGTCTACCATGTGCTGCCCGATTTTGCAATAAAGCCGGGGACACTGCAGCCTGTGCGCCTTCGCGGTCGCCGAGGGGGTCCACCGCGGGGGTCCACCGCGGGGCGGCGAGAGGGGTTGGGCCAGCGGGTGCTGGCGGCTGTGCACGAGCGGGTAGTAGCTCTGGCTGAAGGCCTCTCGCACACAACGCAGCGGTGCCTTTTCTCTACTAAGGATAACGGGCGCGTGAGGCGGGGCTGGGGTGGGACCTGCGGCTTCTGGGTCCCCGCGGTCCAGCGCGGCGCCCCCCACGCACGTGCGTGAACCTGGGCTTTTCCCTGTGTGACTTATGGTGGAAATGCTAGGCGGAGGAGCGGCCCAGTGATATTGCACGATCGAGTGGATGAGCTGATGCGTGCCTGGCGTGGTTGAACGACCGAAACTCTTCCTACACTCCCCTAAGGGAGCCGGCATCTCTTGCAGGGAGGGGGAAAGACGTGTGGGAAGGGCTCTTTCAGGTCCGGGCGAGGGCAGGGCGTCCCTTCCTGCGGCCCCCTTCTCACAGTGCACGTCCCCCTTTCCTGGCACGCCCCGGGAGTGCCAAAGGGAGGGAAGCGTCGCCTAGACCTGAGGGCGATCTTGGCTCTCTCCTGCGTCCTCCCAACTGAACCCAACCCAACCCAGGGCGCACTGTGCTCACTGAGGAGGCTCCAATGCAGAAGGTGGGTCTGCAGCTGGGCCCAGGGCTCCTCAGGAAGACCTGGTGTAGTGTACAGGGCCCTCCTGGGTCAGGCCCCACCTAAGGATTCCTTGTCCCGGGAGCCGACTGTGCCGAGAGGGTTCTGCGGGGGAAGGAGCAGCCTCTCCCCAAGGTTGTGCCTCCCAACCCATGGGCCTCACCTTTCTGTCCATCTCAGGATGCCCTCCTCAAGCCCCTCGAGCCAGGCATCCTTGCCTGTGCCCACAGCAAGTGTCCTCAACAAAGCCAATCTCTCTTCAGAATTCCTTGTCCTTCCTCTCTCAGCTGAGTCACCCTGACCCTGGACCCCTCTAGCCACACCCAGGCCCTTCTTCCCAAGTATCACTGCCAAAAATGCAGCCCCTGGGCCTTTTCTCCCTGAGGGTCTCTTGCTTTATAGCAAGTATGACGGAGGCCTTGTGGGGATCACAAACAGGGCAGGTAGAAGGACAGAGCGGGACCGTGTTGGACCCTCAGCCCAGTCTCTGCCCCTAGACCCAGTCCCTGTAGTCCACCCTGTAGCCACACTCCTGTCAGACACAGATCACCAAGTCCTGCCTGTCCTCACCCCTGATGTCAGCCTGGAGTCCTAGGAGAAAATCAACCTTCTCCCAGTGGGACAGTGCACCTCCACTCCTGGGGGCCAATGTATATGGGGGGGGTGGACAAGCATGCTCCCTCACTCAAGCTCTGAGTTCAATGGCAAATCACAGAGATTCCCTTTCTAGCTGGGCCCTGCAAGGACCCAGGTGTCCTTGTTTCCAGATGCTGGGGGTTAATCCTGACATGCTGGATAGCCAGGGCATCAAGACCAGCCGCTAAGATGGAGCAGGGCAGAACCTCGGACATTTCCCCTGGGGCCCTGCCCTATCCTGGGGAGCCAGCTGGGGTAGAATTACCCTGTGGGAGCAGGAGAGACAGCAACTGTTGGGGGTCTCAACGTTAAATCTGTATGATGGGAATGGTGTGGGGACACACACCATTGTTGGGTGATGGGTCAATGCGTGGGACTTGGCTGTCCTGGTGCACAACCAGTGTCACGCCTTGCTGCCTGGCAAGTATCAGGCCACTGTGGGTGGGGGCACTTCGGGTGCAGAGGGTAGGGCCTGGTTGGCATCTGCCTGGACCCAACTAAGATTCTCCCCCTGGGAAGCCTTCCTTTGCCATCCCTGGCTCTGCTGCTCCCCAACCTCCCTGCCCCCAAGGGCTCTGCCTTTCTGGGCCTCCTTCCCTCAGGGGAGGCCCTACTCCCTGTCCCTACTGCCCAGCTGTTTGGGTTCTGCCCTGGCCTCCTGACTGACCCCCAACACTCGTCCATCTGATGGTGCCCCCTCCCCCACCGAAGCCCTCCATGGCTCCCCAGGGCCCTCAGTTCAAAGCACAAATTCTGGCTCCTGAGAAGTGGATTTGCAGTCTGGCCAGGCCCACTCTCTCCTGTTCCTTCTTCAGTGGCATCATGCGCCTCCTGCTGACCCTGCCAAGTCTTGCTTTCTGCTTTTGCCTTTGGAGATGACTCCACCTCCCACCCCCACCTTCTGGGAAGCCTTCCTTGATTCTTTTGGGCAGTTAACCCACTAGTCCGCAGGCTCAGCCCCCAGCCCCACCCCGTTGTCTGTCTCCACTACACTGGGGACTCCTTAGAGCCTGGCGCAGGGCAGAGCGCCCGAAGGGCTTCAGGAAGTGTGGGCTGAATGAACACCAATCAGATCCCGGATCGTCCTGAAGCCCTGGGCCCCCACCTTCCTCCATGTCTGTCAGGGGAGACACAAGCTGAATCACCCAGGTGGAAAATCATGCCCCCCACCCAATACCTCCCCACTGTCACCATCTCCAGAGCTGCCCTTCCGAAAATTGGCACGCCATAAGGGTCCACGTGTCAGCCTGACATCTGAAGTCCTTTGCGACCTGTCCCCCCATCCTATTCCCCCCAACCTCCAACCTTTTGTTCACACTGAACCAGCGTGTGCCCTTTTCTCTCCCATGCTGCCCCCCAACCTAGGCAGTCTCTTTGGCATCCCTACTGGCCTGCTGGGCCCCCTACCCCTGATTCCCTTAGACTGTGGGAGGTTCCCACAGGCAAGGACAGTCTGCTCCCCTTCTCACTGCTTTTCAGGACAAGGAGCTGGAGACTCTTAGCTGCTTGCAGTCCCCTCCAGGCGTGTTGTACCCTTGTCTGTGACTGTGTAAATACACTTTATTTTCCATCTTTCCCGCCTGGGCGACATGTGGAGTGTGAACAGGCAGTGTGCAAAATGGTGGTGGGCAGTGTGGGGGGCACATGGGAGAGCCCCTCGGATGCCCACCCTGGTCCCCAGGCTCTGTTAACACTGAGGAGTGGGCGACCGGAAAGGGGTAACTGAGCATGATCCCCACCCCAGGAAGTGCCAGGGAGATTGCTTTTGACGCTGCTCCAGGCTCCAGGAGCACCTGACAGGGTCAGGCCCGAGGGTCACAAGGCCCTGGGGGCAAGGGGCTGGGGGCATTGTTGGACTTTGGCACCGTTCTCAGCTCTGACTCTGCAGAGACCACGGGACCACCGTGAGCAGCCAAGGGGAGGTAACCCCACTGGGAAGGCTCCTCCCCTGGGGCCTGGCCTTGGCCAGAGGATGGGGCTGAGGACACAGGGAAGGAAGGGATGTGGAGGCTGGGGACTCCTTGGAGAGCAGGCTAGCTTGGGTGGGGGAGCCCCTCCATCATTGGCCAAGACAAGGTGATGGGAGTGTCTCAAGAGGAAGATGTGGGGCGCTGGGGAGAGGGGGTCTCTTCACTTCCTTGCAGCTGCTCTGGCCCCCAAGAAGCAGGGGCAGACACTGCCCGGGCCTGGGCTGGTTCCCACTGTCCACTCACACCCCAGGTGGCCCTGCATACAGTAGGGGGGACTTTGGTTTCTGCTTCAGGGGCCATGATGCCTGCACCAGGCAGGAAAGCCCAGCCTGGCCATCTGTGCCCAGCCGCCAACGGTCCCCAGGGGCATCATGGGGCGGTAACTTCCAGCCCAGAGCTGCCCCTTCTTCCTTAGGCCTCCTTTAGCTCCTGGGCCCTTCCCAGCAAGGCCACCCGTGTCCTAGAAGGGGGACTGCTGGGAGGAGGGAGCTTCCTGCTCATCCAGTCCTGGGACCTCTGGGTCATCCCCTGCCCTGGCTGTTAAGAGGGGCAGACCCTCCAGGGAACCGGGCCCGGAGCGATACAGACCAAGATGGATAAACACTGCTGGGGAGAGTGGGCCTGCCGGGGGGACCCTGAGGATCCTCAGACCGCAGCGCGGCCCGACCCTCTGCGCCCCGCCGCTGTGGGCCTGGCCCTCCGGTGGGCGGGACCGCGGAGCGCGTGGAGTTTATCAGGTGCGGCCACCTGCGGAGGAGCGGGCGCTGGCCCCCTGGCTCCCGCACGCAGGGCACGGCCTCAGTTGTCCAGGCCCTGGCTATAGGGCGCGGCCAGCTCGTCGGCGTCGCTGTCTGAGCTGCCCTCGCTGTCCTTGGCCGGCCGCTCCAGACGGCGGAAGAAGCGCGCGTCGCGCGGGGACAGCGGGTAGAGCGCGTCCTGCAGCGCCGCGCCCACGCCCACGCCGAGCAGCTCCTCGTCGGACGACGGCAGCGAGTCCTCATCCAGGTGCCGCGCCAGGCCCAGCCCGTCGAAGGCCAGCGGGTCCTCGAAGGGCGGCGGGCCCTTCAGCAGCCGCACCTGGGGCGGGGAACCGGCGCGCTGAAGGCGGGCACGGCCGCCCCCGCGGACGGAACCGGGCCACCGGGCCGCTCCTCCCGCCCCCACTACCCCCGCCCCCGCTCTCCCCGGCGCCGCCGCCCGCGCCTCACCCGCGGGGGACACGCAGGGCTCCCGCCCCTCCCGCGCCAGCCTGCGCTCACCTCGGCCTTCAGCTCCTCGATCTGGTCCTTGAGCTCGCGGATGTACTGCGACGAGTCCGAGTGGTTCAGTTGGCCCTGGATGCGGCCCTCCTCCCTCTGCGGGGCGGGCCAGGTCACGGGCGGTCAGGGCAGGGCCCGCCCCCGCCCCGGCCCCCGCCCCGGCCCCCGCCGCTCACCTGGATCTCCAGCTCGGCGATGCGCTGCCGCATCTCGGCCACCGCCGCCATGCTGTCCGCCTCCCGCAGGCGCACGGCCATCACCTCCTCCTTGCTCTGGGGGCAGAGGGGGCGAGGGCGGGTCAAGGGGCGCGGCGGGGCGGGGGCCGGGGGGGGAGGGCGGGCGGGGGCGCACCTTGCACTCGGCCTCGGCCTGCTTGCGGCGGCTTTCGCTGAGCTGCGTCTGCAGCCCCTTGTTCTGCGCCGCCAGGTACTGCAGCTTCTCCTGCAGCGCCGCGCGCTCCGCCTCCACGCGGTTCAGCAGGTTGCGGTGAATGTGGTCCTGGGGGCGGCGGCGGGGGTCACGGCCTGGCCGCCGGCACCGACCCCTCCCCCCCCCCCCCCCCCGGGGCGCGGGCGCTCGGGCCCACCTGCGTCTCGAGTTCCACCACGCGCTGCCGCAGCTCGCGACCCTCGGCCAGAGCCTGGGCCTCGCGCAGACGCACGCTCATCAGCTCGTCCTGCAGCTCGCCCAGGACCAGCTTCCGCGGGGACTCCTTCCAGCGGCCGCCGCGGGACAGGTGGGCCTGGGGGGAGAGGTGCGCGGTCCGTCTCCGGCCCCGAGGGTCGCACGGGCCACTTCGCGTGTGCGTCGGGCTAGGGCCCTCACCTGCCAGGTGTCCGAGAGCTCCTGCAGCTGCAGCTGCAGCTCCCGCGCCGAGGCCACCGCCTCGCCCTCCCGCACCTTGAGCGCCTTCAGCTCCTCCTGCAGCCGCGCCACGTTGTTCTCGTCGGGCAGCGAGTTGTTCCTCTGCCGGGCGAAAGGCGGTCAGAGCCCAGGGCAGCTGCGCGGCCAGGCGGCCCTGACCGCGGGACCAAGACCCCTCCGCCACGTCTCCTCTGAGCTCCACCTCCGCCAGCCCCGCGGGGACAGGGTGCGCCCCGGAGCCCAGGATACACCGGACGGGCGGCCCAGGCCTATGCGGAGCAGACCCCACCCATGTGGCCCCGGGGATAGATCCTCAGAAATTCTGCCTGCAAAGGGGATGTCAAGAACAGCACCTGCTCTCACTGGACTGTCTCAGGGTGACCCCCTAATGCCAGCGTTCTCCACACATTTTACTGCTAATAACACCAGGCAGGCTGGGCAAGGGCAGGGGCCTCCCCACCTGGGAATCTGAGATCCGCCCCCTGGGGCCCATGATCACACTTGGGACCTGCCTCAGCACCAGCTGAGAAGACTATGAGTTGCAGCAACCTGTCCCTGCTCCTTGCCCCTATACCCCCCCCCCCCCCCCACGCCCCAGACCAGGCTAGGCAGCCCCTTTCCCTGGAATGGGCTGAGGGCCAGTATAGGCCCGGGCCCAGCATTCCAAGGGCTTAGTGATGAGGGACTTGTGCTCCAGCCTCTTGGATCAAAATTTGGCTTGCTGCTGGAGGTCCTCACTGACCCTTGTTTGAGCCTGGGAGTTGGGGGGGTTGGTGGTGGTGGCAGGATCTCCTGGTGCACATTTCCCTTTGATGTGGAGGGAGGTGGGAGGAAAGCCCAGCTCTGGGCCGGCTGATGGGGACTGAGAAGCCCATGGATGGGGCAGTCACCCCACCTGGCAGGGCACCCCACATAGTGCAGGCTTGAGGGAGGTGGGGCATGGCTCCTGCCTTGTGTGAGTGGGTCCTGCTGCCCTCTGCTGGCCGGGGCACCTCTCTTCCGGTGGCTTTGTGGGAGCTGAGTCAATATGGAGTGAAGGTGACAACAGTTGAGGAGGGCCCAGGAGGTTTGCGGCCCCCCTTTAGGGTAGCAGGTGGGAGAGGGTGGTCCCAGTGCACCCCCTGGGTGGTATCTCCATAGGGGTGGGGAAGGGGAGAGCAACGCTGATGGGCCTTGGCCTTCCCTCCCACCTCCATCCTGGAGCCCGGGGAGGGAGACACACACGGGTGGGACTGTCTGCCCAGAAGCCCATGAAAGCCACCACACTGCTGGCCCTGTGCCTGGGGCACAAGGGCAGATATGCCCCTTGAAGAGTCATTCTGCTTTGTGTGTGCCCTGACACGTGTGTATACCTCCGGGGCTCAGGAGGGTCTGTGGTGAGGGGCCCAACTTCCCGTAGGCCCAGAACCTTGGGTGGTGACCATGTGGGAGGAAGCGGGGCACCAATGTGTCAGGGAGGTTCCCTAGGTTCTTGGGGGACCCGCAGAGCAAGGGGGGTCTGATGTGCCCTGCGGGTCTGCCTGGTCACCCCTTCTTGACTAGGGCCTGGTCATGTACCTCCCAAAGTGCACCCAGTACCTCCACTTCCCCTTTTCCACCATTCCCCGAGTGCCTGCCCCCTTGCCCACCCGGTCGCACCTTCTCCATGTCTAGAACCTTGTCCTGCATCTCCCGCAGAGCCCCCAGCGTCTCGGTCTCCCGTAGCCTTGACTGCTCCAGCTCAGTCTCCAGGTGGGCCACAAAGTCCTCGGTGAGGCGCGGGTTGTCCTGGAGGCGGGCAGAGGGCTGTGTCGGGCCCCAGGCGGCAGCTGGAGGGTATGCAGCCTTCCTGCCAACCGGCTGTGGGCCCAGGCCTTGGCCCCCCCCTCCTCAAAGCCCCCGGGCTGGCAGAGGGGCTCAGGCTGCCAGTAGAGGCAGGGTGGGGGGTGAGGAGAAACCCTGGATCCCCTTCCTGTGCCTTCTGACCTCGTGGGGAGAGAGCTGAGCCCCATCGTGGGGGTTCTGATGCTCTGTGCCCAGGGGTGTCGCCATCCTGGCTTAGCCTCTTTCCTGGGAAAGCCACAATGAGGGGACCTTCTGAAGGGATCCTTCCATGGCCTCAGGCTGCCCCCCGGAGGGATGCCAGGGGCTGGTTCCCAGGATTGGGCCCCCTCCCTGCTGTGTGGTCAGTGCCTAACCACACGGTGGGGGTGGGAGCAGGGTGGGGCTCAGGGCTATGGTGCTCCTGCCCCTCTTTCCCCACCTCCCTCCTCTCATTACACCCCCACTTCAAAACAGCTCGACAGTGAAGACCTGGCTGGTAGGTGAGGGATGCCCCTAAAGGCGGAGCTTGGGGGTGCCAGGGGAATGTCTCCCTGGCCTCAAAGGGGGCATCGTGCCAAGGTTGGGATGAGCCCAGCCTTGGTTTCCCCATTGGCCACAC